CCTCCAGGTGGGGGACATGACCTGGCCACATACACATAGTAGTGCACACTGACGGGACATGACCACAACCTCCAGGTGGGGTGACCTGGCCACATACACATAGTAGTGCACACTGACGGGACATGACCACAACCTCCATACGTGGGGTGACCTGGCCATGACCATCCAGGTGGGGTGACCTGGCACACATAGTAATGGCACACTGACACTGACATGACCACAACCTCCAGGTGGGGCTGACCTGACCACATACTGACATAGTAGTGCACTGACGGGACATGACACTGGACACATAGGGTGCACACTGACGGGACATGACCACAACCTCCAGGTGGGGTGACCTGGCCACACACACAGTAGTAGTGCACACTGACGGGACATGACCACAACCTCCAGGTGGGGTGACCTGGCCACATACACATAGTAGTGCACACTGGCGGGACATGACCACAACCTCCAGGTGGGGTCACCTGGCCACATACACATAGTAGTGCACACTGACGGGACATGACCACAACCTCCAGGGGAGCTGAACACATACACATAGTAGTGCACACTGAAGGGACATGACCACAACCTCCAGGTTGGGTGACCTGGCCACATACACATAGTAGTGCACACTGGCCGGACATGACCACAACCTCCAGGTGGGGTGACCTGGCCACATACACATAGTAGTGCACACTGGTTGGGGTGACGGGACATGACCACAACCTCCAGGTGGTGGCCACATACACATAGTGACACTGGCGGACATGACCACAACCTCCAGGTGGTGACCTGGCCACATACACATAGTAGTGCACACTGACGGGACATGACCACAACCTCCAGGTGGGGTGACCTGGCCACATACACATAGTAGTGCACACTGGCGGGACATGACCACAACCTCCAGGTGGCACACTGGCCGGGACATGACCACAACCTCCAGGTGGGGTGACCTGGCCCACATACACATAGTAGTGCACACTGGCGGGGACATGACCACAACCTCCAGGGAGGTGGGGTGACCTGGCCACATACACATAGTAGTGCACACTGGCGGGACATGACCACAACCTCCAGGTAGTGGGCCGGGACATGACCACAACCTCCAGGTGGGGTGACCTGGCCACATACACACATAGTAGTGCACACTGACGTGGGACATGACCACAACCTCCTGGCGGAGACATGACCACAACCTCAGGGGTGACCTGGCCACATACACATAGTAGTGCACACAATCTGCCGGGACACATCAGGTGGGGTCACAACCTGGCCCACACACATAGTAGTGCGGGACATGACCACAACCTCCAGGTGGGGTGACCTGGCCACATACACATAGTAATTGCACTGGCGGGACATACCACAACCTAGTAGTGCACACTGACCACAACCTCCAGACGGGACATGACCACAACCTCCAGGTCACATGGGTGACCTGGCCACATACACACACTGGCGGGACATGACCACAACCTCAGGTGGGGTCACCTGGTCACATATACATAGTAGTGCACACTGGCGGGGACATGACCCGCAGCTCAGGGTGGGGTGGCCACATACACATACAACCCACAACCTCCAGGTGGGGTCACCTGGCCACATACATAGTAGTGCACACTGGCGGGACATGACGGGTGGGGTCACATGACCACAACCTCCAGGTGGGGTGACCTGGCATACACATACATAGTAGTGCACACTGACGGGACATGACCTGGCGGGGACAACCTCCAGGTGGGGTGACCTGGCCACATACACATAGTAGTGCACACTGACGGGACATGACCACAACCTCAGGCCACATGGGCACACAGTGACCACAACCTCCAGGTCACACTGGCCACTGTGCGACCACAACCTAGGTGGGGTGACACACATAGTAGTGCACACAGTATTGGGGACGGGACACATAGTACTGGGTGGGGTCACCTGGTCACATATACATAGTAGTGCACTGGCGGGGACTGGACCACAACCTCCAGGTGGGGTGACCTGACCACATACACATAGTAGCACACTGACGGGACATGACCACAACACTCCAGGTGGGGTGACACCCTCCGGTTAGGGTCACATAGTAGTGCACACTGGCCGGGACATGACCACAACCTCCAGGTGGATGCCTGGTCACATGGGCACACTGGCGGGACATACCACAACCTCCAGGTGGGGTGACCTGGCCACGCGCATAGTAGTGCGGTGGTGGACGACCACAGCCTCGGGTGGTCACCTGGCCTATACACATAGTAGTGCACACTGGTGCCACACTGGCGGGACCTGGCCACATACACACATAGTGAGGTGCACACTGACACATGACCACAACCTCCAGGTGGGGTGACCTGGCCACATACACATAGTAGTGCACACTGACGGGACATGACCACAACCTGACCACAGGTGGGGTCACCTGGCCACATACACATAGTAGTGCACACTGACGGGACATGACCACAACCTCCAGGTGGGGTGACCTGGCCACATACACATAGTAGTGCACACTGACGGGACATGACCACAACCTCCAGGTGGGGTGACCTGGCCACATACACATAGTAGTGCACACTGACGGGACATGACATGACCACAATCTCCAGGTGGGGTGACCTGGCCACATACACATAGTAGTGCACACTGACGGGACATGACCACAACCTCCAGGTGGGGTCACCTGGCCACATACACATAGTAGTGCACACTGACGGGACATGACCACAACCTCCAGGTGGGGTCACCTGGCCACATACACATAGTAGTGCACACTGACGGGACATGACCACAACCTCCAGGTGGGCTGACCTGGCCACATACACATAGTAGTGCACACTGACGGGACATGACCACAAACCACAACCTCCAGGTGGGTTGACCTGGCCACATACACATAGTAGTGCACACTGACGGGACATGACCACAATCTCCAGGTGGGGTCACCTGGTCACATACACATAGTAGTGCACACTGACGGGACATGACCACAATCTCCAGGTGGGGTGACCTTGCCACATACACATAGTAGTGCACACTGACGGGACATGACCACAACCTCCAGGTGGGGTCACCTGGCCACATACACATAGTAGTTTACACTGACGGGACATGACCACAACCTCCAGGTGGGCTGACCTGGCCACATACACATAGTAGTGCACACTGACGTGACATAGCCACAACCTCCAGGTGGGGTGACCTGGTCACATATACATAGTAGTGCACACTGACGGGACCTGCCCACATACACATGGTAGTGCACACTGACGGGACATAGCCACAACCTCCAGGTGGGCTGACCTGGCCACATACACATAGTAGTGCACACTGACGGAACAGGAGCTTCGCCAACATCTTCCTTGTACATACATATAACAGCGCTATGTTTACATGTGGGAGGTAACACTAGGATAAAAGGTGACGGATATGGCGATCGAAGAGGCACAGGGCTGAGGTTTGCGCAACAGTGAGAAAAATGACCAGTCGCTTCGCTCGCATATAGGAAGACTGGTCATTTTTCTCTGTTGCGCAGCCCAATTTGCGCTACTCACAATGGACACCCTGAAGCAAAATACGTGTTGTATTTCTTGGGATGCTTGATAGCTGAGATGAAATTGGGTTTAACGTCGTGCTTGAGAATATTTCGTTCAGGTGACGACGTGCATGCGTATGTATGTATGTGTGGTTGGCTTCTTGTACTAGCCCACTGAGATTACCACGCCGCAGTGAAGCATGAATACCCCACTCAGACACATTATACTGACTCCGAGCCAACCAGTCCTTGTTGTACCCAATAATGCCGAGCACCAGACAGGGACCAACAAGTACCATATTTTCACGTCTTTTGGTATGACGCGGTCGGGGATCGAACCCGCGACCTGCCGCTCTCCGCTCTACGGACACATTAGACAGTTACCAAACATATTTACATAAATTCTTTTATTTATCTATAGGTATCTTCGCCTTTTCATAAATAGCATACAGACAGACATTGTTTCACAAGTCCTGAGCAGGTGTACACTCAGTCATTGCTAAGTCATCGCTGGAGTCAGATTTGAATGTTTATCATCTTATATATGAGCGGCAAATCGTGAATCAAGCTGTCAAAACCATATCTGACCGTACTCACTACTTAAATTCGGAATACAACCTCCTCCCTTCAGGCTGCCGCTACATAGTGCCAATTGTGAAAACTAAGAAAGCCCGTACATCCTTTATTCAAGTACCATATCTCTCTTAAACAAATTTGAAGATACCTGAATCAAAGAATTTATGTAAATATGTTTGCAGGGCTCCAGATAAGGGCCGTATCGGTGTAAGTACGGATAAAAAATATGCACGGTACGGTAGGAAATAATTTAGAAAACGTAGCACATACGCTCCACAGCAATGCTGTACGGTCTTGGAATCATTTACAGACGTATTTATCTGAAAGAGTGTTGTTTATTGTTTATTGACCTGTTTACACAGCGTATAGTAATATTGTGGTGCATATATGAAACGAAACACAAGATTACTGATACGCCATTAAATTTCATTCAGTACTCAAAATGTATTGAAAAAATAAGGAGTACGTACTCTTACTGTTGAAAAATTATCTGGAGCCCTGTGTTTGGTATCTTTCTAATGTGTCAGTAGCTCTGCTGATGAACACAAATTGTAAAGGCATTAAAGTATTATTCTATTCTTACACGTCAGCTCCTCCACGCCCTTTCCTAAATAGCATAGACAGACAGACATTGTTTCACAAGTCCTGACCAGGTGTACACTCAGTCATTGCTTTACGACCGTTCCAAACCACACCCCATATCGTACCCTAATCAAGATTTAGGCAGATGTTTTCGCGTGGTTTGTAGGAGACTAACAACCTGTTGGCACGATGACAAGTGTATCCAAACCCTTTGAGAGTTGAACAATTACTGATGCACCTGCGGGTTTTGTTACATCTGTGTTATGTCAGTTGTTAGATAAATGTTGGTTGAGCGTGGTACTAACCTGATGTTCCTCCACTGCAGCACCTGCAGGAGACGAAGGACGACGTGACCTTGGACTTCATCCTGTCTGGGTGTGCTGACAAGATGGACACTAGCGAGGCTCATAAGGACAGCGTCCCGGAGGGAAGTTCAAAGTTCCACTGGGCCGACCCAACCAGCAAGGGTGGGTTTGTGTATGTCGAGGCCTCAGCAGAAAAGATGGTGTCCACCTTCATCAGTGCCGAGGGTGACATCCTGTACAACACCACTACCTATCCAAGGGAGCTGAACTAAATAGCTGATGAATTTGTAAATATCTGGCGTTGGGATTAAACACATTAAAGCAACAGTGTTTGTCACTACTTGTTGAACATGCATTTGCATATAGACACACCACTCACTCTCTTATGAAAAACATGAACTACATGTCTCATATGCTTTAAAAAACAAATGTCGCATATTAAAATGGTTACTGTAACAGATTTTACTAATTCAGACAAAAAGAAACATCGACAAATTGAAATTTGATAACCATTTACTTGCATTCAGAGAAGAAAGCATGCACATAAAAATGCAGGAAAGTATGGTCACAATGACTGTCATTGAAAGTCTATGTCCAGTATGGTTCCTTGGGTAAACAGCGCTGGTCTTTCAGTGACCAAGGCAATGACTGCACATTGGCTGCATGGGTCTGCTAAACCAGCATCACAAATGATCCACTTCAACAGGGAAGGATCACACATGACAAAATTTCAAGTGACTGTATTCAAACCCTCGTGAGTGAGTACAGGTTTGCAGTGCTTTAAGCAATATTCCAGCACATCCCAGCAGAGAACATTCAAAACACTGTACTTAATTTAAAAATGAGAACACTTTGCATCTGATTGGATGGGTTTATTAAGGATAAAATGTCACTGTGTATGACAACTAAGATAATGGCATATACTGTATACATGATGATCACAAGTTAAGCAATGAAAGTTATTAGCCCTTATAATTTAAGACATAAATTGCGCTGAAGTGTATGAATTTAATTAACAAAACATTCTTCAGATTCATGGTGACAGGTAATGATAACAATTATATTAAACTATTTGTAAAAAATGCATAATGTGCAATGCTATAGTTTCACAGACTTCACTGTATATACAAACACTGTCCAAGCATCTGGGAACACCTATAAGACAATATCTAGTGCATTAGAATTCACATTGTGAGTATCTCTCAAAATGACTGCTCATAGGTAAAGAATTCCAAAGGGTTTATCTGCAAGAAACTGAGGTAGCAGAACTTTTGACCTTGTGTATATTGAACTGAAACTTGACATAATGATTCTTGTGATGAACTTGAGATTAAAGGGAAGTACATCAAATATTGTCATACAACTAAAACACACTACAAGATATAAAGAATGATCATGATGTATGTTAACTAAAGAAATGAACCAATAGAAAACACCAATAATAGTGCTACTTAGTCTTAAATCAATCATGTTTTCACCTGTCGCTCCATTTCAAATAACATTCACTGACATGTCATATTTTACATCTCTATGTTTTTCATACCACAATCTTCATGAAATCAAGCCTGACATGTTCAATTGTGCATCTCAAAACTGATATCAGACACTGTATACAGTCTCTAGCATCAGACCAGCGTCTGTTGCAGTAAGAGTTCAGTCATCAGCTATGTAATGCAGAGGAATTTACCATCACCATGATCAGTCATGTGTTCCCCCAACAACCAACAGTACATCAAATCCAGGATGAAACAAGTCCAGGGAGCACCACCTGTGCACTGACTCCAAATGTTGGTGCAAGTTTAGCAGGGAGGAGATACAGGATATGTGTTGTTTAGTCACTCATCTCCATGTCAACCTGCTGCTGGTTGGAGTCCAGATCCTTTGATGAAGGTGGAGGGTTGGGTGGAGGAGGAGGAGGTGGAGACTCTTCGCCTGCTGAAAGTGCAGGAGGTTTGTCCTTTTCAGGATCTTCAGGCTCAGCAGCTTTGACTCTTTGGACTCTTTCTTCTCCTCACTACCACTGTTGAAGCCCTTCTCTTCCTCGTCATAGTCCCGTTTAACTTTCGTATCCTTATCCTTGTCCTTGTCCTTTTTCTCACGCTCCTTCTCCTTATCTCGACTTTTCTTACTCTTGCGTTCCTTCTCTCGTTCTTTTTCACGATTACGTTCTCGATCTCTACTCCTGTCCCGGCTTTTATCCCGGTCTCTCTTCTTTTCCTTCTTAGTCCTGAAAATAACACAAAATCAAAATTGTTAGATAGATTACTGACATAAATAGAGTGAGGGAGTGAGTGAGTTTAGTTTTACGCTGCACTCAGCAATATTGCTATATGGCGGCAGTCTGTAAATAATCGAGTCTGGACCAGACAATCCAGTGATCAACAGCATGAGCATCGATCTATGCAACGATGACATGTGTCAACCAAGTCAGCGAGCCTGACCACCCGATCCCGTTAGTCGCCTCATACGACAAGCATAGTCGCCTTTTGTGGCAAGCATAGGTTGCTGAAGACCTATTCTACCCCGGATCTTCACGGGTTGGACATAAATAGATATTACAACACTTTCAAACAACATTACCAGCCTTGGTACTGCAAGAGACAATGCTTTAACTATCTGTCATGTACATAAAGGTCCTTGCTTACCTGTGCCTGGAGCCACTTCGAGAACGTGATCGACGTCGAGATGTGGATCTGCTTCGGCGACTTTTCTTGGACTTACGACTGAAACACACATGAAGCAAACTTGGTTATTATATATTAGCATAGAGTCAAACTAACATTCCCAATAACCATGAGGTGAAGTGAAATGTGGGTAAACTAGGTATTCAAAAGTATTGCACTTCTGTGGTGATGTGTATGTATGTGTGAGTCTGCATGTAGCAGTCGAGGAAATGTCCAGACATATATGGGTTTTATCTGTAAATAACTGAGTCTGGACCAGACAATCCAGTGATCAACAGCATGAGCATTGATCTGCACAATTGGGAACCGATGACGTGTCAACCAAGTCAGCAAGCCTGACCACCCGATCCCGTTAGTTACCTCTTCGACAAGCATGGCTTACTGAAGATCAATATTCTAACCTGGCCCTTCACGGGTTTAAAGTCAAATCACAGACTGCACTATGTAACAGATGATATCCTTAACCCAATGGCAGCACTGGTCAACATAGAGGAGTACCGAGATAATGTTGCTGTTGTGTTGAATGCCCTGCATCAAAACTTTCATGACAAACTAAGCTTAAACAAGGACTCATTCCTGTAGTGTAAATATTACAACTTTGGCCTGAAAACAATCACATACCTTGGTGACCTTGACTTTTCGTCTTGGGCTCCTCGAACGTCTGGAGCTCTTCTTTGGGCTTCGACTTGTCCTCCGCTTGGAGCTTGACCTTTTCTTGGGGGTCAGGCTGCGACTTTTGCTACGTCGCTCACTAGACGATCTGAAACACAAATAATGTGTCCTGATAACTGAAACATTGACCCCAACTGGAGACCAGTGCTGTTCATAAACAGTAGAGTGAAGCAATACAGGGGGCTGTGGACATGGTCTACAGACCTGGTCATACAAAAGGACATTTCATCAAACATCAATAAGGTATCATCCATCCCAATGCAAGACTTCATCAGGAATTGGTACATATGTACTGCTATACTGGGAGGTATCGTATTGTTACACCCATAACGTAGATGTAAGAAGAGGCAACAATATCACTTGATGTCATTTAATTAGATGAAGACCTCATTGCACAAGAACAGAGCTGCACTGAGATCACTTAACATAGGTGTGATTAGTAGAATGATCTTACTCTAAAAGTGATATGCTGAAATTAACCTATTCTAATTCATAAAAGTCTTGTGAGATGCTACATGTTAAAACAGAAGATGTTGAGGAATGAAGGCGACATGCAGCTGTCCAAGACAGAAAGTTGTGCAGAGTTTTAGAATGATTAGCATGTGCTTGGGGGAGCTCAGTGTTCATTAGTGACTGTGGCCTGTAAATAGTAAGTCTAGACCTGGCAAACAAAATGTTAATGACATGATAAATTGTTTGTTGTTTACCATCATACAATAATTCAAATGGATGTTTGATGCCTTTAAATAATCAAGCACAGACCAAGTATCCAGTGATTCATATTGTAAGGAACAATAACACACAATCAAGTCACCCAACCTGACCACGTGATCCATGATCAGGGCTCAATTTAGCAATATGTAACATGCACCAAGTGGAAGACAAAACAACTGATATCTTTGTTTCATTAAGCTTAACATGTCCAAACATATCAATCTTTGACCACATTGCATATCCATAGATTTTATTAACTATACTACATCCCTTATCCCTGTGCTATGTATAATTGACAACACATGACACAGAGATCAGAGATTTTATATATTTAGATTAGACAACTCTGATAAATTTACTGGACAATGCATCCTTGCATTGTTGGTTGCAACTAGCTTTTAAAGTCATCCTGGTGCAAATCACATCAAGTTCCTTAAAATGAGTCATGATTTGGAAGCCTCTTACAACCAGCACAGGCTGCTGAAGACCAAACTGTCACTCAACAACCCAAATATACCATAGGTAGGGGACAGATTGTATTTTGTGGTGAGTTTTTCTGCCTCACAATCACCACACTGTCACTTGGTAGTAAACAGGGAACTGAAGAATCAGGCATATATCCTACATCACACATGGACAGATCACTCTTGGACAGTAGATTGTTCATTCTAAATTTCCAATGCACTCCTCATATTAAGTTAGAGAACACCTGATTCCGTCATATTACCACAGTCAATCTGCCATGCCAGGACAGATTAACTGTGGTTACACCCAGCACTACACTTCATTCAGGTAGTGATGTCCCTGGACAAAGCACTTTCCTTACCAGTATCTACTAATCAGTAAGGCCAACCTGCTCACTACATAGTGCAGAAATACTGCAGTACAACAATCCACTAATGCATTAGGCCTAAGCTACTTCAGACACTAAAGTACTGTCGGAAATAGAAGAAAACTGTTTTTTCACATTTATCTCTACAATTTATGTAGTTCATATGTGAATGTGTGAAATATCTGTTAAACAAAGATCGGCCTAACTACAGTCTCAGTGGTAGGGAGATAGGAAACGTAAAAAAAGAACTTTACTGAGGAGAGATTAGTGCAGAAATGAGCATAGCAGGTTTTTTCTATGTCCAAAGCAACTTGTTTGGAACAGACCATGGCTTTATGCAAATTAGTGTGCGATGATATTGTATTACAAAGGACACTTTTTAAATCCCCATTTTGAAATTAGACTTAGCTTCATTATAAACGATAGCTGACGTAAAAAATAATAACTTTCATCCTGAAACTATTAAGGATGTAGCTACCATGGAGTCACACTGTCACGAAAAAAAAAGAAACAGATAGGAGGGGTCCTCTCAAAAGCAAAACCAGGGCGGGTGTCGCAGACGATGGTTGGGGTCGGGCTTGGGGAAGAGAGATATCAGCAAAGATAAGATAATCCTTTTGGGGAATTAAACTGGGGAAGTAAATGGCATGCCATAACAACATAACATAGCTTTTCTACGGTTATCAGGTATAATACTCTTTTACATAGCTCAACATAAACTTTATGAAAGAAAGATAGAAAGACTTCCGCCCGTAACCCCCTTAAATTTCATTCTAGTCAAATCATATCACCTGAATATATATTCCTCATCTGATAAGGAGTTCTAACATGTTTCTGTACTTGTATCTGAACACACTGAAAGACATGTCCAACTTCTAAAAATGCCACTCAAAGAAAATTTTCCTCATCGTTAAAATTTAGGGGGGATACGGTCGGAGGTCTTACCAGAAAGACACGTAAGATGTTAATCAATAGATGAGACACATTCAACACACATGAAAAAGCACAAAATATCTTTGAGATGACCCCTTGTGCCTGTAGACAGCACATGCATTTCATGCCAGGTGAGTCAACTGTTTGTCATCATACCTGGCTGAGCTACCTAATTGCCATCTATAGTCTGATCTATTGTTTTCAGCAGCTATTCGTATCTTTTCTAAGTTTTGCCCAATTTTACGAGTAAACATGCTTTTCTGGATATCCTCTTAGGCATCCCACTGAATGCCCAGTTAGGCCGAAGTGGGTTATTTCGACATATGCTATTTGCAGTTGTGTAAATTTTAGGGATGCAGAGTAACAGCCTAAAAACAGTTTTTTTCTCTATTTCCTACAGTACTTTAATTTGCATACTGTTTAATAAGAGAGCTTCCCTTCTCAGCCATCGCAAGAGTAAAACTTGCTGATTCATCACTCACGAAGAACTGTTCAACTACATAAAAAAGTTCAAATGTTTGTTCATACGGATGAGGAGAATGTGGATTTATGTGGAGGCAGCAATTTGTATTGTGACCAACAAGTGGTTGCCAGTGTGAGGTCAATAAATGTGAAATACATCCCAGTGACACCTGGTTGTCTGTATCAGAACGCACCTTAGAGAGACCAGGGCATTCCTCAGACACGGGACAGCGAGGGAGCCACATGCTATGGTGTTATATCTTGTTAAAGTTTCTTCATTGTTGTCATAAATTACAAACTATTCATTTAGAGATTTCTTCACTGAAATTGAGGGCATGTGAATCTGTGATATCATCAGCTAATTTAATGGTATTGTGGGGGTGACTGTTATTTCACTGATACAGGACCAACACAGAGAAAGAGTTTGTAATACTTAGCAAGGCTCCAGATAACTTTTGGGGGTGCGAGTGTACTTACACATCATATTGCAAGTGGAGGTGTACTGAGAATTTTGAAGGAGTACTGACATGTTTTTGTGTGAGTGAGTTGGTGATGTAGTTTGTATTTATCAAGTATTTATCCGAAATAGATTTCCATTAGCACAATACGCACGAAAATTAAATGTTAGACGTACAAAGGTATTTATGTCCATACACGATACGCTTGAAATCTTATATTATGTCGTACTTAATTGATTTTGAGGCGTACATTACGCTTAGTTTAATATTATTTCTTTGAATGCAATGCTAAAATTCAATGCTCAGACACCTCTGAATTTTGAACAAAAACTTTTATTGAAAATCCCAATTTTGAGCAATCTAATAAACTTCTCAATTTGCCTTCAACAGACAGTGAGTTGAGAATCCTAGCTAAATCCTTGGTCATATACCAATGGGATGAACTGTTTTGGGGTACATACAAACTCCAAAACTTGACAGATTCCAAGCAATTCAGAAGAATATGAACCACACTAGAGAAGAGGAAAGTCTATTAAAACATCTGAACCAATACAGCAACTATACAATGCTGACATTGATTAGTGGCTGAAAAAAGAGGAAAGCATAAAGTCAGAATAGTTACCTCGGTTTGGAGGATTTAGATTCACTGGCAGTCACACTAAATAAAACAGAAAATATGGATACCTACAGACATCTGATGAATCCGGATGACAATGACAATTTGATGTTCACAATATTCAAACTAACATGCATGAAGCAAGATGGCTTCTCTTCTTGATATATCCTGCTTTCAGCCACACAGATCAGAGTGAGTGAGCGAATGAGTGTCGCTTTTAGCAATATTCCAGCAATATCATGGCAAAGCTATATCATGACAGAATAGCTATAGACAAATGAAAGAATCCTACTTCTTTTGAGTATCATTTATACTTGAGTCATCAGCAGACAAACAATGACAATGGTTGATGACGGATGAGCAGTAATCCACTCACTGGGGTGAGGTCAAGTTCTGCCTAAGTAACTTTATAAGTCAAAATGCTTAAGGATGATCAAACATAAAAGTGCTGTGTACTACAAGCTTAAGGAGGACTATAAACATAAATCAGACTTATGTGGGAGTAACTTCTACTGACAATTCCAGTGTGTACCACAAGGAATGGAAGAGGACCAAAACTCAAATACTTTATTAGCGTGGTGATTTAATGAAGGTAAAGTATCCCTGTTTGAGAGTACTACTAGCATTCTATTAGCATTCAATCACTTTATGCCATGTTCCTGTTCTAATTACAATAAGAGCATATACTCATTTGACTGCATAGCATTAATCAGATCAGTCCAAGGACCTGGTAGTTAGCCTGTCAGAATACAGGGTGCGATTTCTTTGTTTTTTTCAGTACCTGCACTGAGGGCAACCTGGCTATAGGTTTGGTTGTACCATCAAACTTTTGGTTCCACCATAAAATAATGTCACTGTTCTAAAACGTAACAAATATTTGTTTCGCAATTTTCGTAACAAGTCCTCAGTATCAGATACACTCAACAGAACCTGACCATATGACACGATGACAGCTATAAGATGTTGAAACATTAATTGTTACCTGCACCAAGTGCAACCTGTTACTGAAGGTAACCTGCACCAGCCATTTCTAACATGCACCAGTGCAGGTTGTAAATAACGAAATCGCACCCTGGAATAGCTTTTCCTATCCATATATGGGGACACCACTGGCAAGACATCATTATTGAAATTCCTCTTACTAGGTGGAACTACGATTCCTTCACTCAGTGAAAGTGATGATAATATTATAGTTTTTATGGAAAGTATTCTTGAAATTGTGTTGTTTTCCCACATCCCATTGGAAATGGAAGAAGTAACTGAACAGAAGGAACAGAATGCTGGGAATATCTAAGGAAGACGTTCCCTATTCCAACAGTCAGCATATTAAAATTTGGACTTTACCTCTTGCTGGTCGGCTCGACTTTGATTGGCTTCGAGCTGGGACTAAGAAATACAGAAAACATTGAACTTCTCTTAACATGTAAAGCCAACAGTGTAACACTACTTAATTATAATTCGATACTGAAAATAGATCATATTTCACTATGTGTACATGCTTTGAACAAAATATTATTCATATGAAACAAACAGATACTCTACAATTGCAAGCGAAGATGCTTCGACTAAAAAAATAGATTTTAAAAAATGTACTTGGAAATGGAGCAGCTTGAAAACAGAAAATGTATTGCTGGATAACCAAAAATATTCAAGTAAAACAAAAAACTATTCAGGTATCAATAAATACATTAACCCACCTAGCTAAAACTTCAAAAATGTATGCGTACATGATGTATACAAAACATTATTATTTTGCTAAAACCAGGATGTGCCAGAGGATGCAGGTTGTTTCAGGCTGAACCCAAGTCTAGAATGTTTCAACACTTCATATATTTCCCTCGAAAGGACAGGGATTTGATCATTGCTATGGGACACATACTTCCATGATATTCAACAGCAATGACCAGAAATATTGTTGAACCTAGGACACAGCTACAGACTACGACACATGCAAGAACCAATATAAGGGAGATAACTGACCTTCTCGACCGTCTTGGCGGCGAGTCCGACACCATCACCTTTGTTTGCGGGTATGGAGCACTCTCGCTCCAGCTTAGGAGGGGATGGGGAACGGGACACTGATTTTTTCTTCTCGCGGGACTTGGACCTGTGACGACTACGAGAACGACTCTTACGCCGACTCCTATTGTAAAAATTTGTGTGCAATGTTAAGTTTTGAGTATCTACAGATGGTATCACATAACGATTAGGAAACGTTCTGGACTTCACTTCACTTCTTGTAATGTGTTCCAAACAACACTGGACACGATTTCACATGACAGAATTCTTCTGCATGTTACATTAATATGTACATGATGCTATCCCTGACATGTTTTAGTTTCCTATAAAACTGATGAAATATGTCTATAATTCATGAAATATGATGGCAAAATATCAAGCTATGGTTCATTGGAGGCATTACCTTGATCTCGACCTTCTACTGCTAAAAGCTTTTGGTGGAGTTCGGGATCTTTTCCTGGCAAAAGAACATGAATGTTTTACAGAAACAACGTCAATATTATTTATATCATTTATCATGTAACAAGTAAAAGATACTATCACCTATGTAAAATATTCATAGTATCATCTTGGGTTTGAGCATTGTTACCATAGTTACTGGGGTAAAGGGAAAATTGTAACCTGACACTTTACATTCAAAATGGTAAATGGAACAGTTCATATGACTAACAATACAGCTGCTGAGCATGATGAAGGTTTGGTCATATACAGAATTTCAGGTGTATCACAGCATAACAACTAAGGACAAGAAATTGTTCACCACTTTCAGGAGAGCTGCGACATGCATGAACCTGGTGCTGATAGATCAGAACAAGCGAGATGAACTTTGGTTTATGTCATGTTTGGACAAGTGTGCATACATACTTCTTCTTGTACTAATTTCAGACAAATTTGTTTTACACAGCCCATAGAGACACACACTGAACATTTCTACCCCACTAACTCTTGAGCTGACTAGTTCATGTTTTAATTCTTCCATACCAAGTGCCAGGCAAGGTTATCAGATGTAGCATCTTTTTACTTCCTCTGGTATACCATAATAGGATCATAATCTGGGAACTGTGTCGAGTGATTCTGGCATGTTTGATTGGACAGTGTATTGCCATGTGTTTGCACTGAAAACTCAATAAACTGTAACATACTTAGAGCGAGATCGCCGTGACCTACTGGTCCGTCGCTTTGACCTTGATCTAGATCGTGACCTCCTCCGATCTCTTGACCTTGACCTCCTCGATCTGTGGGAGAAAGTGAATTTCAAACATCTTTCATTCATGACTCATTCAAATTGCATTACATGAGACTAGGAAAATACATCTCAAGCCAGTGCTGAAAGCAAGGAACAGAGGTTAACTGCACAAAGTCAACAGCATGCAACTCTACTGAAACTGATTAATTTGACGGAGCAGACATACAAATCATTTTCGATGCAGCAAATGCCTGTTAATCCACACTGTTCACAGTAAAATTTGTCTAGATTGTAAATAGTGAGCAAGAGATTACTGCTTTACACAATATCTGCAATTGTGCACCAGTTTTACACCAATATGCAGAGATATGTCCTTGGTATTTAAGAAAATTCCAAAGAGGAATATGTTCCTGAATAACAGTATAGGGACTAACAAGACTTCACTCTACATGCATTGTTCACAATACTTTCATTAATCACAGACGTATAAACAAGGAAACTGTACACTAAAATGAAAACATTACAATTCAAGGACAATGCCAAGTTGTTATTGCAGAAATACTTAGATGAAGAAAGAACTGATCAATAAAGTGTGACAGCCCATATCAGAGACTACAGGAGCCAAAAGTGTGTTATGCGTGAGCAGTTTATTCATGTAACTACGAGCACAACTATAAACAATTCAATCGGTATCATCATGTAAATGAGAGAGTGAGTGAGCGATTTGGGTTTTACGCAGCTTGTAGCAATATTCCTACAATATCACTAGGGGGACACCAGAAATGGGCTTCACACATTGTACCCATGTGGGGAATCGAACCCCAGTCTTCAGTGTGACAAGCAAATGCTTTAACCACTGGGCTATCCCACCGTCTCCATCATGTAAATGGTAATATTATTATGTTTCATGAAACATTAGAATCCACAAACAGTAAACCAGATAGAAAACTATTACATTTCCCAGATTATTTTGACGACTACTATGTGCTTGAACTCTATTCAACATTCATGTTACGTCTGAACGAGGGTGATCACAATCAGTAATATTCCAGCTGGACCAGGTAAACAATGGTTGCTAGAATGATGCATATTCATACAATGACTAAGTCTGTTCACAAACTGAACCCATGCTGTGACCAGTCCAGCATGGGCAACTATAGAGCCGTATAATCTCAACCATTTATTGAGATGATTTCCACCAACTGTTTGTTGTTCAGCATCACATTCGCAATATTGCAGCTTTATGATGACACTCTGTAAATAACATTGTGGACCACACAGTCTAGTGGATGACATAATGAGCATCTATCTGTGAAGTTAGCACGCATGAGCACCCAGTCCAATTTTTGACTGGTTACAACATGGGCTTAAGTGGAGCATCACAATCATGTAGAACAGTTGAAGCTTCTGAAGAAGTAGTGTTGTACAGATTTCAGACATCGATGAATGTTGTAAACAAATTAAAAGATAACATAATTCCCTCATCCACTAAATAAAGCAGTATGACACAGCTGGCAGTCCTGCACATACAGCTGTACCATGTCCTTGACCCCACACTAACTTGTTTGTACATGACGCATCTAAACACAGAATCACATCCATTAGTGTGTCTTATTTAACATTAACTTTCCTAGAGCAAACTATGGGAGTTAGCATGAGAATGTCGCCAGTGCTGTCTGCAATATTACAGGTATTACATGTGTATACAGGTAATTCAACTGGCATGTGTATACAGGTAATTCAACTGGCATGTGTATACAGGTAATACAACTGATAGATAATCCTGCTTAGGAGGTACCATCATTAGGAAACAGATCTTACCATTATATTCACACTACTGGGCTGGATTAGATGGTATACACACAAGAAAAATCAACAAAAACACTCCAATTCTAAAAAAGGAAACCTAACAATCACTTCCCATTGTTGTCATATATATGTTGTCCACACGACGATAATGGAGTTTTGGACATGAGGCTACATACAGCTGGATGCAATGAAGCAGTAATCATGGTGATACTCGAAGAACCAAACAGAAAAACAAAAATGAAAATGTCCAAACACCAAACATATCTGCATAATGTAAATGTTCCTGTAGAGTATGTTCCCACAATGTTGCTATTGGTAGATGTGTGAGTATGGTGTTCCAGTTGATATACTTACACCACAACAGGCGGGGCTATCCCAGACCTACAGCAGAAACCTGGGCTTCAGAACTACAGCTAATACACATCTAGCACATGTTCAAATGTTTACACTCAGACAATTTGGCCAAGAGTCCATTTCTTTCTTTCAAGCATAATCGGCTTTACAACGTTGAGATGAGGACAAGAGAATGGGCTTGACTAACACCGCTTCCTGCAGTATTTCAGCAATATAACGGTTTTAGTTCTAGAACTGGGTGAAAACCATCACACAGTTAGGATTGAAGTTCATCATATACTGAAAGAAATCAAGTGTTCCTGGAAGATAATATGGGTTGTTAGCCAAGGGACATTCTGAGAGCACATGGTTGTTCAGTACAATACTACTTCCAGTCCAGTCAAGGTACAGACAATCAAAATTAGAATTTTAAATGTATCAGTTAAGTCCAATTTGGATTGGCAGTGATCATTCTGCCTACAATACAACTACATTAAATCAGATACTGTATGTCATGGCATTCAGTGCATGGTGTTACAAGGATGTAATTTTCTTATTAAAATTGATATTTTATACTTATCCTGACTCATGCTAAATGCTTGTCTCCTTCTTCTTGCGAATGATAGTGGAACACTTGAAATCCCTTCAAGTTCCCTTCTAATAAAAGCAGACGTAAAATCACCAGTCACCCACGAGTTGCCTCCCTTGCCCCTTTTGGCACCCTTTTCAGTCACCTGACTGGCCATGCTTGTCACTCTCTCCTGAATGTTACTGTCACCCGACACCCGGATTTACTGGTAAATCCAGAGTGCCTTGAGAGGGTAGGTTGGGAGGGCTGACCTCATGAGTCAGGATAAGTATAAAATATCAATTTGAATAAGAAAATTACATATTTTTCCTTAGCCTGACTCATGCTAAATGCTTGCAGAATCCGTCAGAAACGGTGGTGGGTCAAGCCACTTCCTGGATTCACTGGCTGCTGTTTTACGTCCTGTAGATATACTAATGTCCCATTAGTTATCTATTGCAACTCCATATCTTGATGCGTGCATCAAGTGGAGATCCGACCCTTCTTTATGTACGAGTAAGTCCTATGCAAGTACAGGGTCTATCACTCATGCTAGTCTGTCTTAGACGTGTGCATGGACTTAACCATTTGCTCTCCAGAGGGTTGGCTTTCACAAGTCGCGTGACAAATGGGTGAGTTTTACTTAGCGCCTTTGTGGAACCATTAGTTTTGCTAATGTGCTACAACAAGTGGCCCAAAGTGGTGAATGCCTGAGACGTCTTCGGTGGCAATGTCTCTGAGGTAGTGGTTGGCAAACACTGTGTCTGATTTCCAAAGAGATGAGTGTTGCACACCAGCTCTGACAAAAAAGGTTCCTCCGCAAACATTCGACTTCAAGGTCTACCATATGAGATATGGTTTCAGGTTGTCCGGCAGTATCAGTGGATCCGAACTGTCAAGATGGGCGTTCACAAATCTTTGTAATGGGCGTAGCTGTAACCTCCCTCTGCAAGTCATGAGTTGAGCTGAGGTGAGTAGACCGAGCATGCTTTGCCAAGCACGTAGTGTCAACGGAGAGAGCATTGCTTGATATACTGTAAACGTACTTATTTTCGCGTGCTGCAATTTTCGCGGAATTGACAGTTTAGACTACTTCACGCGGTCAATTATTCGCGCAATCAGTAATTGCCGGAACTGCCAGCTGTCTCTTTGGCCGCCACTAATAGCAGTGAAAACAAACAGAGTGGCTGAACCTGTCAGGCGGCATTTATTACTTACTCACAGGAAATCCCTATCTGTGCGATATGCTAGTACACAGTAACACGTTTACTCCCGGAAGAGATGAAAAACACATCAGTATTATGTTCCGAATTCTGACGATCTGACTAATTAACTTATACTGTATATGAAGCTCTTTGTGATTTCAAACAAGCCGGGTTGTTGTGAATGAGATGATTGAGTGTTAGTGACTATTCACTTCATGGTGATCCGTTTGTATCTAAATGAATAAATAAAATACTGCTGTATTATTTCTTTCAGAGTCGTTTCGTGGTAATCTGTTTTGTATCAAACCATCTGTCATGTGACCAATTTCCATGGCGGCCACAACACACATTGCTGTTTTCGCTAATTCGTCGATGGGATTTGGCTCATTATTTAATTATGTTTTGGGAAATCCATTACAGCGACAGTTAAGTTTGATTCTTTATGCTACTATCAGTCGTCATTTTAAGATTCCCTTAGATTTCTGTCTTCAAACTTGATGTGTTATGGTAACAACTCAGGGGCGAGCGTGGCTAGACTGAAGGAATGACAGGTTTATTCGCGGTGTATAAATTTTCGCGCTAAAATGTTTAGAACCCTCCATTAGAAGTGATGTCCGTTGAAAAGGAACCTTAGGTATTTCCTCAGGATGTGTAGATCTATGCTGGCGAGGTAGTCTGACGGACGAACGAGATGTCGGAGCTGAGGAAGATGTATCATCTGCTGGTTTGCGAAGATACTCCTGGTTGAACTTCCTCATGTGGTAGATGAGCCGGAACTTCTCCTTGAAATTCTTTTTCGGTACCAGGAAAATTGGGGATTAAACCCAGGCGTGATGTGGTCTTGATGTATCTCCTCGACTGCATCTTTGTCGAGTCGAGTCTTGATTGTGACGTCCAGTTTGTGTATCTGGTCGGCTGCGTAGGTGAAGGCCAGCGGGTTGCTTGTAAGCGGTGGAGTGGCTTCCAACTGTATCTCGTACCCTCTGCGCAGTATCTGTGAAACGTAGTCGTCCTGTAGTATTCCCCAATTCTCCCAGTACCGATGCAGACGTCCACCCACTATCGAAAGTTGTACGGGAACGGTTGGGGGTGGAAGACTCCAGTCGTTCCATACCTGTCCTTCAGCGCTTGAATCCCCTGGTGGAGTTCTTGAACTTAGAGATGAGTGCTTCGTTGATAGCTCTAGACCTGGCTAGTCTGAAGAAAGTATGTCTAGTAGTCGTATCCAGTTGAGCTAGCTTCTTGTCGTCTTTCTTATAAGTTCTATAACGGAGTCGTTGATGATCTTGTAATCCTCATCAATCTCTGGTGCCTTCAGGAAGGATTCCATGTGATGTAGGGGGAATTCCTTGGCATTGAACCTCGGGATGTGTTGACTCTGAAATTTGGTAGCTTTATCAAAGGCTGCTCTGAGATTTTCCGGTACATTGGAGATCGGGTCGATCGGTGGGAAGGTGAATGTGTCGAACTCATCTTATATGAATAAGCCTCCTCTGTGTCCTTGAATGGTGATGTTAGGTCCAGACCATTTGCAACCCATGAGGTTACTTCCGCATCGGAGAATATGACTTCACCTTCATCCTCAGATTTGGACATCTCCCGTTCTGATGATCCGTGGCGACGTGAGTCTCTATATGTAGATCTGTACGCAGAGCTGCGCGCAGGTGAACATCCCGATGAGAACAAGTATCTCTACTGGAGTCTTGTGATATATCTCTAGACCTTCGCGAAGGTTGATTAGTTGAAGACTCTCTGTGAGATGTGGAGCGCCTGGGTGAAGGTTCCCGACGTGCGTCTGAGTCCGACGGAGATGATCCATATCTATGTCTACTGTAGAGTTCAGGAGAACGCTTCGATCTACTTCTGTGTGGAGGACTCTTGGAGTTTCCTTCACGGACGTCTAATGCTGAGCTAACGTTGGCAACATTGTCCAAGCTCCTCTCTTCAGACGGGGAAGATCGTCAGGTGTGTGGACCTTCACGCAGGTTCGTCTCTTCTTCCAGATGCGTTGGAACGGCAGCTGATCCTTCACGCAGGCTTGTAGTCACGCCAGATGTCCTCGTAGTAGCCTTCTCCTGCGTGAAGCGACGTTCCATCATCGACATCATCTGTTCCGTAAATTGTTGCATAAACAGCCCCAGGTTGAAGTTCTGCGACGGAAGTTGAGACTGCTGCAGGGTTGATGATGCTTCGGAGAGCGATGACGGCTCTTCTCAAGTACGCTGCGCTTGAGAAGAATTGATGCTGCTGCTATCTCTTGTTCCCGATGTCTGCGTTGATAGAAGATCTTCTGTCAATGTCTGCGCTGATATAGTTGCTGATGTCGCTGTAGAAGCAGGCCTCGTTTTCTTGGAGACAACTGACTTCAGGTATGAGGAGGGGGGGGGATCATCATAAACATCTACTTCTGCTGGAGGTACAATCTCGACAGAAAAAGATCTCGTTTTCTGTGTAGAACTGTGTAGAGCCTTCGACAAAGCCTCAGGGGTAGGAGACCTTTTTTTCTGCATTGAAGTCGTCCTAGACTTCTTAGTCAGCGAAGCGGTCAGCTCTGATGACGACCTCTTTTTCTGTGAGCCAGAGTTCATCACTGGAACAGCGACCTGCCCTCGTACGCTCGGCGATTCACTAGAAGAATGAATATCAGCAGTAACATCCAACACACGGTTATCAGCGCAATCACTTGATTTACCAGACATGACTTGTGAATACCTTCTAACCCAGTCCTTTGCACGTCTATGAATGGAAAACAGGTAATTATTAAATTCAAAGGATGTTAAATTCTGACAATGTTTACAGCGAGAGCTGGAAGAACATGAAGTAGTGCAATCAGGACATAATAAATGTGGGTCAGCCGCAAACAGCCGGTACCTACAACGAATACAAGTTTTCATCAAATGTAAACACAAACAAACAGTACAAACAACGTTAAATTTAGATAAATTCCAAACCATATTATTGGTATACTAATCCAAAACCGTATACAGCTGAATTTAAGATGTAATAGGTCCAAAAAGAAAAGGATATTTGCCGTATAGGGACCGTGGTGCTCTCACAACCATCCTCAAGGGCGAAGAAGGACTGACTGACTGAGTTTGGTTTTACGCCGCTTTTTAGCAATATTCCAGCAACATCACGGCGGGGGACACCAGAAATGGGGATTCTAACCCGGGTCTTCGGCGTGTTGAGCCAACGCTTTAACCATTAGGCTACCCCACCGCCCGCGAAGAAGGAGAGAATGACAATCATGGCCAGTCAGGTGACTGAAAAGGGCACCAAAAGGGGCAAGGGAGGCAACTCGTGGGTGAGTGGTGATTTTACATCCGCTTTTATTAGAAGGGAACTTGAAGGGATTTCAAGTGTTCCACTATCATTCGCAAGAAGGCGACAAGCATTTAGCATGAGTCAGGATAAGGAAAAATAAATAATATATAACATAACATATTTATACAATCTGTATATTTCCCATCTTGCATGCTGAAGATATCATGATAATTCGGAAGACAGTAAATCAAGGATGCTCAATAACACATACTGTAAATACAGCGTGAACATGGCAAGGGTGGAGGGGTATCAAGCACTTGCAAAACACAAGCAGCCCCATAACCTCCATTGGGTCAAAGTTTCTACAGTCTCCAAAATATCACCATGTACTTTCTTTTCAAAAAGTACTTCCAGGATTTGACATTCATAAGAACTTTTAAGATACAGCAACTGGAGTAATCTCAGGATTGTACAACTACAGGTGCAACAGTGCCTAGTGGGAATGATACAACTCTGAAATGTTTCAAAATAAAACTTAAAGACAAATGTGGACCTCTGATAGACACCTACATTTCATCTGGTGAAATTTGTAACAATACATTCCTTTCAGGAAACCATCTGAACCTCATGCAAAATAACATATAAAACTTAACAGTACATTTAACTTGGTCTTTACTGTCAGCTGACAAATTATGTTGCAGGAGTTTTGAAGAAACATGTCAATATTCAGTTGCATGCCTCTAGTGGTCATGTCTCACAATGATATACCATGTTTTACAAAAGGGTGCTGTCTTAACATTTGACTGGTATAAGTGTTAAAGCAATCCTGATTCATGTGGTTGCTAAAAATAGATCTACTTTTATGTACAACGTCTGTTTCGAATCAAACAAAATTCACTTCAACTGACTATCTCCAACATGCACCAGAAGCAGCACTGAATGTACACCTTGCCAGGTTATAGGTATATCAGTAGAAATAGGTATCAATTCATATCAACAGAAAGGAGTTCATTTCATAAATAGTATTTGCTTCAGGACACAGATGAAACAACCAATTTAAGCAGGAAGCAGACTCTCCCAGTAAGTGAGACTTTGCTGAAAGTGTTATTACACCACAGTCACAAAGTTCCCACATTGGGGAACAGAGCTGGTGGGGAATGGAGCCACAGAGGAATTGGACAGGGGGGTAAAAAAAAAAAAAAAAGAGTCGGAAGGAGCTGGTGGAAAAGGGACAGGAGAGGAAAATCGGGGCAGGAGAGGAAAAGTTGGAGGGGAAAGAGCCAGTTGGGAGAGCAGTTGAAAGGGAAAGGAGCGAGTTGGGAATGGAGCTGGAAGGGAAAGGGAAGGAGGGGAAAGCAGCTGGAAAGTAATTGAGCTCAGGGCCTTGGGTGCAACAAACTGATTCCTTAACTGCTAGATTTGAAATGGCCAATGACATGAAATCCATAAACATGGATAGCATTCACAGATAGTCATTTATGCCCGCAACTTTCAAATTGGAGCTTTTACCTTGATTTTGATCGCCTCCTTCGTGTTCTTGACCTTGATCTTGACCTTCGTTTAGGGGTTCTACTACGTCTCCTAGAACGTGATCTACGTCGAGATCTGGATCTTTTCCGAGATCTGGATCGCCGGGACCTTGATCGGCGTCTTGATCGTGACCTGGATCTGCTGCGGCCTTTTGATCTTGATCGCGATCGTGTGCGGCTTCTTCTGTCTCGTCTTCGGTCTAAAACATCACCTCACTTTTAATCATATGACACTTTCCAAATAGTTTACTCTGCCAACATCTCTCATATACATTGCTACATTTGGGCTTTAAACTTTGATTCAAAGTAGCACTACATATAAATTTCCACACCTGGGGCTTTAAGCTTTCTTCACAGTAGCACAACATACACATACATGGCTCCCCCTGAATCTAGTACAATATGTCTAGGTGTGGTTAAACACTGTTTGTCAGCACATGTGGCTTCATACCTCCTGCAGCAGCTGCAATCAGAGACTGAGCCTCCTTCACCTTCTTCATGGCCTCCTCTATCTCACGTTGAGATGCCTCCTGGGACTTAGTCAGCGGCTTCACAATGGCAGACTTGGAATGCATCACCCTACAAAAACAAGCACATTTAAGGGCAAGCAGACACAATCTAGGCACTGTTTCATGTTACCATACAACACAGGTCATGCAACCAGACACAATCTAGGCACCGCTACATGTTATCCTAAAACATCACTTACAACTGCTTTTGACATGGCATTTGTGTGTTTGGACCTTTCCCACGATGGGTGACCTCTCCCCTTCGCCAATTAACTGACCTATTGTATGGTTTACAGCTGTTTGTTATTTATAATACACTCCTGCAATAAACCAGCTATATGACTGTGTGTGTGGACCAAACATTCCTATGATCCAATGATCCATATTGTCTTTAGACCAGAAAAGGTAAACATTTACTACCTGAGGCTATTGACAGTGACTTACTTGAGAGGCCTCCTCTGGAACATGACTCCATTGTAGGTGAGTGCAGTGGCAACAGATCGCTGGTCAGTAAACTCCACATAGGCAAAGCGGGCAGGCTGGTTTTCATCCCCCGCCATACTCACATACTTCACCTCACCCACCTGGCCAAAGAAGTTCAACAGCTGCTCAGAGGTCACCTGAATAAATAGAAGGGACCAAGGTGATAAGACGTGATTCCAGTCTATTAAACACTGGTTATTACGTTTATTATGCAATGCACTCTAATTTCTATTTACATGATGAGTCAGGGCAATCTCACAGCATGAGTATTTCACTTTTGTCAGCCACGAATAGCTGTAATATTGGTGATGCGGCTTAAAGCGACACTCACTCACTCATGTCACTTCTTCATAACACAATAAGATGAGCAATATACAGTCAGTGAGTGAGTGAGTTTAGTTCTACGCTGCACTCAGCAATATTCCAGCCATATGGCGGCGCGGTCTGCAAATAATCGAGACAGGACCAGACAATCCAGGGATCAACAGCATGAGAATGGATCTGCGCAATTGGGAACCGATGACATGTGTCAACCAAGTCAGAAAGCCTGACCACCCGATCCTGTTAGTCGCCTCTCACGACAAGCATGGGTTACTGAAGATCAATATTCTAACACAGACCTTCACGGGTCAGCAAAATACAGATGAATATTAGGTATGACAATACTATCACATTACATCCATCCAAAGAATAGAAACACTGAGATGATGTAAACCTTTGGTTAGTAATAAGGAAACCAAATCACCACAGTTAGTATACAATCAATACTGAGCACAAGCTATATACTGTCCTACATGACGACATACAAGTCAGACCACTCACTGTAACAACCACATCTCAGGGGCCTATTCTTCCCCTAATCACACATGGAGTGTTGAACTGATGGTGGCTACTTACCGTTGTGTCCAGGTTGCCAACGTAAACTGTCCTGCGTATCTCCTCCACCTTGGTTGGGTCGGTACAGGCTGGGAGTGAAGGATACTGGGTCAGGCCCAGGGCTGTCAGACGAGGGTCTGTCGTGTTGATCACCTGGTTGATGCCAGAACCAGATATCTGGAAACAAGTCATAAATAGCCATACAAACAGAATTTAACTATTCACTAAACAAATATGAATTGACATTAAGTGAACTTCATCATTATACACACATAGCAGCTATTCCATCAAAGATATCCGCTGCATGTCTGCCATCATGGAAATTGATTCCATGTGGCAAACTGTGATCATCCAACACAGTCACATAATATGCTCTAACAGCTGTATGCTGATCATCATTAAATGTGAATCTGAACTACATGATGCTGTAAGCAGCAGTATTTTCAAAACAAGCCTTAATGGAAGCCATTTTGTGATTGACGAACAACTAGCACATTTCTACAGGAGCATGCTTAATGACACACTGAGTACAATTAATGGGAACAATAATTTGGCTACCAGTTACATCTTAAAACACCAGCATACTTCCAGAAGTGATAGTTATCTGTAATTACCTGACTGGTGACGTTGCTGGGCCAGGTGGGCTGACCGGGAAACATCCCCGCCACTGCCTGGGGGGTCAGCTGGAGGGCCTTCCCCTCGTCCGGGATCCTCCCTGCAACACAACCACAATGCTGCACATGAAAACACTATCACATCAGAATTAGAGGGGAATTTCTACAAACCTTTTGTAACATCATATTCAGATCATCAAGTGAGTGAGATAGTTCAGTTTTATGCTGCACTCAGCAATATTCCAGCTATATGGTGGCGGCCTGTGAATAATCGAGTCTGGACCAGACAATCCAGTGATCAACAGCATGAGCATCGATCTACACAATTGGTATACAATGACATGTGTCAACCAAGTCAGCAAGCCTGACCACCCAATCCCTTTAGGCACCTCTTACTTACAATTGCAAATCAAAGGTGCAATATTTTGTACCTGGGTTTACTTCCCTCGAAACGAAGCACCCGGGATATCGAATCCAGTCAAAGCGGGTGGGCGTGCACTTAAGTGTAACGAAGACCTTCATTGGCTGGTTCATTTGCCGATACATTCTTTGTGTGTGTATAGAGATGTTGGGTTTCATAAATACATGCTCATTCAATCAACAGACATTATAACATGTCATGTGTAATTACATAATGTGATAAAGACAGAACTCGGGTGCACGAGCCATAAATCAATGCATTTCGTTTATGGTGTATAGCCTGATAGGTGTTCAAATTCAAATTGCATGTGGTCAGTGATGGAAGTTTCATTGCGTTATTTTTCGACTTTATGAGGTGAATTTGTATTTTATATGATTTGTTACTTTAAGTCCACACCGAAAGGTATCAGAATCTGCAAAGTTGTGTTTTACGTTGCATGTGACCTTTAATGCAGGCCTGTCCTACTGCAGATGAAATATGTACCCATCATTTGACACAATTGGTATAGTTGTAATCACTGAAACAAACGTACCAATCATTTACCCCTCACACGGAAGTACTGACGATGCCATAGATACAGACAGTATCAAGTGTTCTAAATGCTTAAAAAGCCATTAAAGTCAATGTGCCTATGATTGAGAATCTGATCTCCAGCAGGAATCAGCTTAGTATCAAACCTGTACTGCTTTCCGTGTGCCCTTGCATCTAAGCAGGGATTTACAGGACCCGAATTCCTGCATTCTATACCCATTAAAATTGACAATGGACACAACACAATATACTAGCATGTCAACAGGGACTTTTTGTAAAAATTCCAATCAAGTGACAATACGTTATCACTGAGTTTGCTACTAGCTGGATTATGGTATTATTTGCAATCTAATTACTGTAACAATGTGATGATCATGATACACAATACAATAACAGTATTAATGACTAGGATTGCCTCCAGGGCAATACTGACGGTCTTCAGACTTCCCCAATACACCCCCTGTGGCTACCTTCACTTGTACTGTTTCTTTGGACGTCAGCTGGAGCGTCCATTTTAACCCTCGGAGTTACGGGTGTTTGAAGTGTATTGGAGGGCTAGAAAGCGTCCAAACCAAGGCAGAACACGTTTTTGACACGAGAGCTGACACGAGAAATGCAGCCGGGGTCGCGGGGGTCATGTACCTTTTAAGTAGTTCCATAGAAGGTATAGTTCTTTCTTTAACTGGCCGTAGCTCTGCCGTCCTTGGGTGTACGGTCTCAATGCGATTAGAGTTCTGGGATCACCATGGCCCTAGCTATCTGACGCATACACATATGTGCATATACTGCACTTGTGAAACAACCATAGATTTATGTGTGTATATAGTGCATTTGTTAAACACCCATTCAAAAACAATTTGAAATAAAACTCATATCTCACTCTGTACTTACAACGTTTATTCATGCAAACTTGTTCTCGACGCTCTATGGCTAGGATAATGCCGATGTAACGCTATTTCTGTGGGCATTGGATGACGTTCCAACTCAGATTTGACAGCTCCTTGTCAATGTCAATTACATCAGTCGGTGAAATTCACATCGTCTCCCATATCTGCACGTGGACCACGCTTTACAGTGGTCGTCTCTTTATAGGAAAGATATGTTCTCCCGCGTGAGCGCTCATCTGATAGTGAACAACCTGAAGTTTATCTGTATTATAAATTTCAACTGTGTGATGTGACTAACAAACTGCCTGCTTTTAAATTTAGTGCTATGACTTTTTCTGTTTTTAAATGACAACGTAATGAATAGATAATTTGGCATTGATTCAATGCTTCTGACACAAACGGAAAATTCACAAACTGCAGAAAAACATATACTATAAGAGAGATTACTGGTACATGTTGCAGACTGCTGGAGAGATCACATCCTGACAATTCCAGAACACTAATTCTTTTGAATGTAGACCTATGAACAACAGAGTTACGGCCTGTTAAAGAGGAAACTATTTCTGTGGGCACTCGAAAACCAGGACACGGGCTGTGGTGCTAGATTTTACGACACTTCCTCCAGCTATCTCACAACTGAAAAAATGCGCAATCCTCATGTCCCTCACTGTTTGTGGCGTAATTGTGGCGTAACTATTGACTTTTACATAATAACAATGTGAAGCAAAATTGTTCCATATTTTATTATCTACAGTGTGGTACCTTCAAAAAGGAAATCCATTGTGTTTTCGCAGAGCTGTGAACCCTATAAAAATGCGATTCGCCAAAAATTGACCAACTTCCAAGGGCAATAACTCCGACACTATTCAAGATATCGACATGCATTGAACAACCTAAGTAGTCCGGAGTGTGGGCTTTAAAACGATATATAGAACACTATTGTACTAGTTGCCGTTCAGGAGCAGCAGATTGTTGAAACACAGGCACCGTCAAAAAAGTGCGGAAATGTGCAAAATCGCGAAGGCTGTGTTTGTGTCCTAATGGTGACGTTATTATTGATTTTTTCATAACCATGATGTGAAGCAAAAAATGTTTCCCATCCAATTACCTAGAGGATGGTACTTAGAAAAATGGAATACATAGATTTTTCGCAGAGTTGAGACCTTTTTCTTAACCCTATGAAAATGCGTCTTAGAAAAATCACCAACTTCCAAGGGCGATAACTCCAAAACCATTCAAGATATCGACATGCCTTGAGCAAACTAAGTAGTCCAGAGTATGGGCTTTCCAACGGCGTATCGAACACGATTGTACCATATGCCGTTCTGGAGAAGAAGATTTTCAAAGACAGGCACCGTCAAATCGTGAAAATCGGCAAAAAAATCAGTTTTTTTCAAAATAGCGGAAAATTTGACCTGCCGGCCAACTTCTGGTATGTGTTGAATCGACGGGGAATGATGTTGTCTACATTGAGTGAAAATTTGGTCAATCTACCTCTTATAGTTATTGAGTTATTCAGGTGCAAAGATTTCGACATTTTGGGTTCTCTGCCCTTACCGGAAGCCGGAAGTCGGGATTTTTTTCGACTATGTATCAATTTCAGCACACAGGCTATCATCCCTGAAAGTTTCATGAAAATCGCCCCAGCGGTTAGGTCAGTAGAGCTGTCACAAAAACGGTTGGAATAATAATAATAAGAAGAATAATAATAATTCGGATAATAACAGTAGGTCTTCCAGACTTTCGTCTGAAGACCTAATAATATTTAAGTGTCTGGGACCTCCATTTGGGTTGCCCAGGACCCCTGAAAATTAAGAGTATAAGTCACATGGACCCTCAAATACAGGACTCCATGTAAATCCCTGTCTAAGTGTGTAAAACAATGATACTCAGTGACAGTGACCAACAAAGAAAAACAAGATTGGTCTATTAGATAAAGCTAACATAGTTGGTGAAACATGTTCATTTAAAATCTTGCAGATATTCAGTTGCCATGAATCAACATTTGTATATTAATGCTAAGTGTTCATCCCAACTGTCTCTCATAGCAATTGAAATATAAATGACTCATCTGTTGTCATCAAGAGGATGTAATCATAAAGACTGTTGGTGAACCACCTTTTCAGGAATACTTTGTCACATATCATGTTAATAAACATGAATACAGTCAGGCTGTGTTATCTGCCGATAATCTGATTCCCACGCCATCTGAACAAACTGAAGCTGTAACCAATCTTGTCTACTATATAAACTCATCAATTGTTGATTCATTAATCTGATGCTTCAGTCTCCGACTCCGAACATCAATTATTGGTAATGGATTAGCTAACTGTACTTGTTTTTTCCTCATTACATTCTGCTGTACATACAGCGGCCCCTTCAGTCAGTCTGATGCAATTTTACATGGACTCAATGAAAAACTATTTTGAGTGTGACAAAAACTTGGAAACCATTGTCAAGATGCATGCCTCTTTCAAGGGACTTTCAAAACAAACTCTTCTTGTTGACTTTTTCCATCAATGTGAATTTATTTTGTGCAATGAATTTTGATATTTTATCATTTAAATATCCAAGCTGTAATAAAGTCAGTTGATACATGTATACATTCTTTTGTCTCCATCAGTCAAGTGAAAGGGAAGTAACGCTACTGCAGTATGGTGTACTGGACTGGTTTCAGCAAACCTAACGTTTCACTAGCCAAACATTTTTGATGAAAAACGGCACTGTTCGGATTAACGTGGACTGACTGTACACTGTATACTGTCCAACAGAACAAATGGAGAAAGAAGGGAGTGGTGGTAGTTGACCATGACAATTTAATTTCTGTTATTTTCCCTTTGCTGCAAGAAATAGCTGACCTTCTACATGGCAGCCTGTAAGCAATGATGTCTGTTGAAGACAGCCAGTGACAAATATGGACATTGTCTCATGTCATGATGATATCCAAGTATCAGAGCCTGTCCTGTTTATCAAACTTAGTTGCCATTACAAGGAAAGCAGTGTTTGTCACCAGAACCTATAACAAGTGCCCACATCTACTGTGTAGGTTACTTTACGTATGTAGGGATAGTTGTAATCAAACTGTCTCTCATAGCAATTGAAATATGAATGACTCATCTGTTGTCATCAAAAGGATGTAATCATAAAGACAGTTGTAGTTTTCTTGGACACTAAACATAGAATTCAAGTATCAGCTTATCAATATCAGTAGTGAACAGCTTTTAAGGGACTTAGAGAAATTAATTCACCAAAGTCATTGATTGCACACCTGAATGAACTCAGACGCAGTAGACAATCAAACAGTTTAAATTCTGTACTTTCAACATGCAGTAAACTATGACAATGAACACACTTTCAACAAACTGACAGATATAACAAATTGTGCTTTAGGTCCCAGTCACATATAGTCTTTTATTCAGAGGTACACTCCATGGTGTAGTGGTTGAGTATTATTGGGTTGCACCAGTGCAGAGAGCAGAATGTCACAAGGTCGATCCCTGGTGCGTCATACCAAAAGATCCCTGTTAAAATATGGTACCTGTTGGTCCCTGCCTGGGGCCTCGCATTAATGGGTACAACAAGGACTGGTCGGCTCAGAGTCAGTATAACGTGTCTGAGTGGGGTATTCATGCGGCATGGCATCTCAATGAGCTAGCACTATAATACCAGCTTAAGTTTGGGCCTGTACAAGCAGCCATACATACACACATGCACCTCGTCATATGAGCAAAATATTCTTAAGTACGACATTAAACCCCATTTCACCTCACTTCATCTATGTGTTTCATCATATAAAACTGATGGACCTAGCAAATACAATTTGCAATTTAATTACTGTAACAATGTGATGATCATGATACACAATACAATAACAGTATTAATAATAATATTTAAGTGTCTGGGACCTCCATTTGGGTTGCCCAGGACCCCTGAAAATTAAGAGTATAAGTCACATGGACCCTCAAATACAGGACTCCATGTAAATCCCTGTCTAAGTGTGTAAAACAATGATACTCAGCGACAGTGACAAACAAAGAAAAACAAGATTGGTCTATTAGATAAGGCTAACATAGTTGGTGAAACATGTTCATTTAAAATCTTGCAGATATTCAATTGCCATGAATCAACATTTGTATATTAATGCTAAGTGTTCATCCCAACTGTCTCTCATAGCAATTGAAATATAAATGACTCATCTGTTGTCATCAAGAGGATGTAATCATAAAGACTGTTGGTGAACCACCTTTTCAGGAATACTTCGTCACATATCATGTTAATAAACATGAATACAGTCAGGCTGTGTTATCTGCCGATAATCTGATTCCCACGCCATCTGAACAAACTGAAGCTGTAACCAATCTTGTCTACTATATAAACTCATCAATTGTTGATTCATTAATCTGATGCTTCAGTCTCCGACTCCGAACATCAATTATTGGTAATGGATTAGCTAACTGTACTTGTTTTTTCCTCATTCTGCTGTACATACAGCGACCCCTTCAGCCAGCCTGATGCAAGTATTTTACATGGACTCAATGAGAAACTATTTTGAGTGTGACAAAAACTTGGAAACCGTTGTCAAGATGCACGCCTCTTTCAAGGGACTTTCAAAACAAACTCTTCTTGTTGAATTTTTTACATCAATGTGAATTTATTTTGTGCAATGAATTTTGATATTTTATCATTTAAATATCCAAGTTGTAATAAAGTCAGTTGATACATGTATACATTCTTTTGTCTCTATCAGTCAAGTGAAAGGGAAGTAACGCTACTGCAGTATGGTGTACTGGACTTGTTTCAGCAAACCTAACGTTTCACTAGCCAAACATTTTTGATGAAAAACGGCACTGTTCGGATTATCGTGGACTGACTGTACACTGTATATGTTAGGTCCAACAGAACAAATGGAGAAAGAAGGGAGTGGTGGTTACGGACCATGACAACTTAATTTCTCTGTTAGTTTCCCTTTGCTGCAAGAAATATTTGACCTTCTACATGGCAGCCTGTAAGCAATGGAGTCTGTTACAGACAGCCAGTGACAAATAAGGACATTGTCTCATGTCATGATGATATCCAAGTATCAGAGCCTGTCCTCCTCATCAAACTTAGTTGCCATTACAAGGAAAGCAGTGTTTCTCACCAGAACTTATAACAAGTGCCCACATGTACTGTGTAGGTTACTTTACGTATGTAGCGAGAGTTGAAATCAAACTGTCTCTCATAGCAATTGAAATATGAATGACTCATCTGTTGTCATCAAAAGGATGTAATCATAAAGACAGTTGTAGTTTTCTTGGACACTAAACATAGAATTCAAGTATCAGCTTATCAATATCAGTAGTGGACAACTTTTAAGGAACTTAGAGAAATTAATTCACCAAAGTCATTGATTGCACACCTGAATAAACTCAGAAGCAGTAGACAATCAAACAGTTTAAATTCTGTACTTTCTGCATGCAGTAAACTATGACAATGAACACACTTTCAACAAACTGACGGATAAAACAAATTGTGCTTTAGGTCCCAGTCACGTATAATCTTTCGAGTGCATCCATGGTGTAGTGGTTAGAGTACTTGCCCAGAGAGCAGAAGGTCACAAGTTCGATCCCTGGTGCGTCATACCAAAAGACGTTAAAATATGGTACCTGTTGGTCCCTGCCTCGGCTCAGCATTAACGAGTACAACAAGGACTGGTCGGCTCAGAGTCAGTATAACGTGTCTGAGTGGGGTATTCATGCGGCATGGCATCTCAATGAGCTAGCACTATAATACCAGCTTAAGTTTGGGCCTGTACAAGCAGCCATACATACACACATGCACCTCGTCAAATGAGCAAAATATTCTTAAGTACGACATTAAACCCCATTTCACCTCACTTCATCTATGTGTTTCATCATATAAAACTGATTGACCCGGGAAATGCACTGTCCATTTTACCATATAGTATTAATGGACATAACGGTTATGATTGCTAAGAACTGTCAACACAAACAGATGGAAACAAAAGAAAGATATTGATGTATGCATCTTCTATTTTCATTCCTGACCAAACATGATTGCTTGCAAACAAATGATCAATGTCAGAGATTTACATAATTGGTTCAACATGAATTTGCTATCAATATATCAACAGTTATCAGAATGTCAAATCTGTTTCTCATAGCAATTGAAATACACAATGGCTCATATACATCACCATAAAACTTGTAATCACTGAAACAGTTTAACACATTCTGGACTGAAAAATTAATTTTGTAAGGATATTTAACCTGTACAGAATAGACATTTACCATCCATGACTGGCACAACAATGAGTGCTCTGTCAATGAAGACTGTGTTTGTAAGATGTAGTGCCACACCGACATGGGTTGTTTCATCATACTCAACATAGCAAACTCTGGCAGACACTTGGACATCAGAACTGAAAATAAAAAAAATTCCTTAATCATTTCAAAAGAGGATACAAACAATGTGAATTAAGTTTTTACTTGTATAAACTGTGCCTGTTTGTTCATTTTGATACTCAGTAATATTCAAACGATGTGCCAGCACAGTATGGGCCTGAACGGTTAGAGTTCCTTACGTAACCCCCAACTTAATTTTTTTTTAAATACAAAGAAAATATATACAAGTAATGAAAAGAACCTCAATAACAGGGGAGAGCCCCATAAAGTCGAAAACAAACTGAAAAAAATGAGATAAAATATACCCCCAAAAACTGAAAGCGCCCCTTTTTAAAAAAAAAATCATAAAATAGGCAGGGGGTACGTAAGGAACTCTTTCCGCCTAAACATTCAGTGACTGACAGCATGAACATCCAACCAAATAAAATAGTAAATGAATCTGATGACATGATCCTGCCAATCAAACAGATCATCCGCCATAAACTTTCTTACTTTCTCATGATCCTGTTTGACTACTCTTAATCATAAGAAGTATGACCAGTTATAACCCTGCTCAATGTTGGACTTTAGGGCCTGGATCCAAGACTCTTTTTGAAGGACCAAGAAGCATTGAAACATTAACTTTCAGAACATAGTGATCATCAATTGCTCAAATGTAACTTTACAATTTGTAAACGATATGCCCTTTCAAAAATAGGAAGAAAGCAAATTGCAAGCTACATATTTTCTGTTTCGTTGATTAAACTGGGTGGCTCGCATTTTCAAATTTCAACTGTAATTATTGATTCTTGTTATTCATGACTTTGGAGAATTTATGATGAAAGTGATAACTCTCGTGTGATTTAAAAATGTTCGGCTTACTCTGGGGGATACATTTTCAACTCGCGGATCCTTCCGATGAATCCAAACAAGGTTTTCATTTGATCTTTTGTCGCAGTTGGTGCGACATTCGTCACCTGAATAACTTTCGTGTCGAATTTGTCCGACATTTTGATGGCTTAATGATGGTGTATACACAGCAAACAATATAAATGCTCAAATGTTTCAGCGAATTCAACAACTTTCAGGACGTAAACGTCTTACTGTGTCCAACCCGCGTTTCGGGTTGGAACACCATGCGCTTCGTCAGGAAAATGCTCATTGGCGTTGTACGCGAGCAAACGTTTTACGACACACTGTATGACGAACAACTAATATTGTAAAATATCTATAAGGACGTCAGATGGTGGGATCAGTGCCTGGTATCATCAATATTTTCCTCGCTGCATGCTTATGATGTTGACAGAGTATTTGACTGCGCCATTTTTCGGTAGAGATTTCTAACAATCATTTAATTGTTTTGTCGTTGTTTTCCTTTTTGATGAATTGCTTGATACAAGTTACGGTACAGTCTCTGTAAATGAATACGCGCACATGTGCCTAAACGCCAAATTAAATCACTGGCGTATCTTGGAAGATTCCACAGAGAATGAAACAGATCCAGTATACGTTCTGTCCGCGGTGTTACTGCGGCTTCCTAATGTAGGACACTAATTGATGCTGAAGGGGTCGTTGTCGGCACAGGTACTACAGAAATGTACCCCAGGTACGTTTCTGTATAAAGAAACTTAGCCGAGGCAATATCAGAATACAGAAATGTACCCCAGGACAATTCCATTCTGCATTGTGTCGTTTTCTTGATCGGAATTGTCATACTGTTGTATTAGGTTTATCTTATTGCGTTATACACTCCTCAAAAAGGAAACGCATTTTGAGAATATAGGAAACATGTAGAATATAGGAAACATGTAGCTGCGACAAGAACAATACAAATATACTATTTCTTTCCAAATGTCATCTTTGTGTGATTGTAAACAGCTTCGGCGTCAAAATGCAGCGATTTTAACTTTTTCCCATTTAGAAGCGTTTGAAGAAATATTCGCCAACCGTCACCACGAAAACATGCAAAGCAATATGTACATGCAAGTAACCGGAAAAACTTGCAGAATCGATCACTATAAAAAAGCAAACGTTTTGTCAGTCGTTTTTGCCTGGAAAAGAGGAAACCATCATGCCACGACTGAGTGCCGCCAATCGAAACATCGCCATAGGCCGTCTTGACAAGGGAGGGATCGTAGTCTGCAGAACATTTCCCGACACTTCAACGTTCAACAGAGCACCATACCTCGCCTTTGGGGTCGTTTCTTGCAGACCAATTCCGCCCAAGATCTCGCGAGAAGCGGCCGTCTAAGAGGTACCACCCAAGCCCAGGACCCTACATTCGGGTTGCTCACTTGCGTCATCGTCTTGCCACAGCCGTGGAAACTGCACAAAGAAATCCCTGGTTTGAAAAGAATTTCCAACCAAACTGTCAGGAATCGATTGCGTGAAGTGGGAATTAGACCTAGAAGGCCAGTTATCGCCCCTGTTTTGAGAGACTTCCATAGGCGCGGGGGTGTCGTAGAGTCCGGAACTGGAACCTTAGAAACTAGAGTCAAATCTGGTTCAGTGATGAATCGGCGAGATGATAGACAGCGTGTTTACCGTCGGAGAAATGAACGCTTTGCCCGCAATTGCATTCGGCAGATTCGGTGGAGAGAGTGTCATGGTGTGGGGTGTCATATCCAGCATACAAAGATTTGATTTAGTGGTGGTTCAGGGGAATTTGACAGCAAGTCCTTGCATGTTACATGCTTCCGATCATTGACCGACTGAGGGAGTTGTTCCATCATGACAACGCTACTTCTCATACATCACGGGTCACGGTCCGCTACCTTGCAAATTCTAACGTCAATGTCTTGCCATGGCCTTCCCGATCATCAGATCTAAACCCTATAGAACACCTATGGGGTGAACTCGATCGACGTGTACGTCAAGGTCAAAACATGCCTCAGACACTTCCACAAGTGGCCATCGCATTGCAGGAAGAGTGGGGAAGAATTCCGCAAGAGCGACTACGTCAACTTAGCCAGTCTCTGCCGAGACGGTGCCGAGCCGTAACTGCTGCCAATGTCGGCCGTACAAAGTATTGAGTTTGACGCGATCTTGTGGACTCAAGTAGACAGAAATACAACAATAACGGCTGTTGTTGTGTTGGCGAACTCTTTGTCTATAGAATTGAATTGTCACTTTTTACCATTGAAATTACATGAAATAATTGCTCTTAAACTAAAGCAATCAATTCTTCTAAAAAATGTTTATCCGTTTCTTTTGAGAAAGTGTATTAAAAACGATCATACACAGCAAGGCATATTTCGCGATGCACAATACAAAAACAATATAGCACCTCTGCTGCAGTGTATTTTAATTTTGTGTATCGCTATGAGCAGGCACTAAGTGCCTTGAGTTTTGGCGCAAAACAAATCTAATGTACTAGTACTACTCGCAAGTTGGTTTCAGTTTTGGGATGCAGAATATATGGACTCGTCCGTCGTTAAGGATACCAGTTTCTACCTAACATTTCTGTATACAGAACCGTACCTGGGGTACACATCTGTATTCCCATGCCGACAACGACCCCTTCAGACCGATTGCTGGTCAGCCACAGGAAAAGAGTTAACGCAAGTGTCTTTGTCGGTCAGTTTAGCTACATATTTTAATGATCTGTTTGATTGGCATTTAGAAGTTGGTGACTTATAAGAAAGTAAGAAAGTTTATGGATAACAACTTCTTTATTATATATGATGCGACGTTTCGGTATGGATTCTTATACCGTTGTCAAGCAAGAGTGAAGTACTACAGCACAGAACAGACTTATATACATGAACAGGGATTAAGTAATAACAACATGTAGGACAGAATCAGGGGGATTAACAACAACAACAAGGCACGGTGGCAATAATGCAGTGACAATGGGAAGCCAATGGTGGTGGAGGTAGAAATAAAATATACATGCTGATGAGATTAATTAACAATGATAGCTGAAGTGCTCCAATCTGTTGTTTTTATCAGATCATTGTATACAGAAGGGATGTCGCATCATATATAATAAAGAAGTTGTTATCCATAAACTTTCTTACTTTCTTACATATTTTAATGTAATCAGAGTACTGAGGCACCCAATTATTTTGTATTTTGTTTTAGGGGGCGTGTGGGTATTTTGGTTCCCGTGAAAATATTAATCAAACACATTTATTTTTCAGGACACAAAGTGTTAAGCGAATATAGTTCTTTCTTTTCAATCATGGGAGCAAATTACACTTTCAAATATAATTTGTGGAAAATCTCCGGGTCGAAAACTCGGTTCCCCATTGCTTACATGTCTGGATACCTAAGTGTAAGTCTATGTTGGGCTCAGTGGCGAGAATCATACTAGAGTTGCAGCTGGACATCAAAGTCGATATTCCTACTATGTTCGTTTGTTTTGTTGATATACCTACAATATCGTTTTATCCATTGTGAAACGAGTATACGTTTGAATTCGGTAGTTGTAATCTATCTTCATTTCGTTTTTGTCACTACCTCTTGAATGAAGAGTTCGTATTTTCAATTAGATAGTCAAGAAAGCTACGTGAGAGTGGTTTGAAGAATTGAATATGTATATGTAGGACATCGAATTTCTTTCTTTGTAACTAACCAGTAAAGCAATTTCTACTGGACATCCTTATGAAGAAACGAGAACATTTACTTGGTATCATCTGACTTCTTATTGAAATAATTGCCTGTATTTCATAAACGTCTTAGACATAAAGTTCACAGCGACTTATTGCGACACAATTCCGACAATACGTTTCAGAACAGTGATTATTTTGGACTCATATTTACGCAGCCAGGAGATGTTTCAGTCCTGTATCTTAGATAAAGGTAGTGTTTAGGAATACTGTGAACAATGTTGTTGCACGCGCGCCACAAAGGGTTACCTCCCTTTAATGTTGTTCGCTACATTCAAATCGATCAACACTACAAACATATACTATCATACATCAAGAACTATCGTAACCATTAGTATATATCGCAGGGATATATCTGTATATCTTATTTCATATTAACTGATCCAATATTAGAAATAATGCATTTGCGACAACAACTTTACAACACGTACCCACAGGTTCACTTCCGGCATCTTTACCTGCATTGAACCCGAGAATTTGGAATTGTCTAGGGTAAAAAAATCACTTATTACATGGATTGATCGCATTGGCAGTGCTGTATTTTGTAGTTATTTTAAAGTGAATACATGTCTGTGATGTTCCTAGTCATACTGAAGGACCAGACAGTGAAACTGACCTAGTCACATGGTCAAGTATACACTATGAGTAATCCATAGGATCATAGCCCGTACATTGTCTATCGGACACCAAATGGTTGTATTACAGACGCGATTTATTAACTCATTTATTCACTGCAGTGTTCCAATGTATATATGTCTGTCGGTCTGTCTGTTTACACAAAAACAAAGATGCTCCACACTTGTCCATGTGAACCAGACAGCTTGTAAAACAGTTTCCTGCATGAACAAATATTTCAGCCACTGCACTTTTTCTCATCACCTTAATGTCTTGCCAACACTGGTGAAGGTGTCCTCCCATTCTTCAGAGAACCATTCTTTAGTGAGTCAGACACTTGAGTAGAGGGATTAATTACCCTCACCCCACAGCAATAATGGAACAGCTTAATTAGCCTACTAGTGCTCGGGAGAGTAGAGAGATTATTAAATGGAGATTCAACCTTTTAAACCATACTGAAGAGGCCACAGGTGAGGTCAGGTGAAATTGGGTTTAACGTCGTGCTTGAGAATATTTCGCTCATATGACGACGTGCATGCATGTGTATGTGTGGCTGCTTGTACTAGCCCAGACTGAAGCTGGTTTTATAGTGCTAGCCCACTGAGATACCATACTGCAGTGAAGCATGAATACCCCACTCATACACATTATACTGACTCTGAGCCAACCAGTCCTTGTTGTACCCATTAATGCCGAACGCCAGACAGGGACCAACAAGTACCATATTTTAACGTCTTTTGGTATGACGCCGTCGGGGATCGAACCCGCGACCTTCCGCTCTCCGGGCGGATGCTCTAACCACTACACCACGGAGGCAGTTGAAGAGGTCACAGGCATATAGTACATAAAACATACCTACATTTATATTCGCCCGAGTAGTAACTTTTACATTTTGTCAAATATTATTATTTTTCTTTCTTTGCAATGTTGCATGGAATATAAACATTGATAAATTCTGAAGTATTAAAATGTTTGTACTTGTTAGTAATGATATAAATTTAATAACGTTTGGATATCTATAAAAATGATTTGGTAAATACTTTTTTCTAAGCTCTGAGTACAAACAGGAAGAAAATGGTACTCATCCTTGACAGTATTTAAATCGCATAGTTGGCATAGTCTCTCTTGTCGAGTAATATTAGTATAACGTCCAGTTTCTATAAATAAATCATGAGATGAACATCGAAAACGTGATAATGCAACTCGGAACTTCTTTACTGTCATCTTAGAGAGGTACCACTCCAAACTTATTTGCGCTTTAAAAAGTTTGTAATAGAAACATTTGTTTGATAGTGACATGATAAAATTAGGGTAGCAGTTAATGTTTTGGTCAGACCATGCGTTACCAAAACCAGTTTTAAACAGCAATGTTTTATATTCGTTACCCAATTATTTTTTCCATGATTGTCATAAACTATCATCATATTTTAACACGTTTTGGGAAATCTATGTGCAGGCATGTTCAGCAATCTTAACCAGTATTTGATAGCCTTACTTGAGAAAATATGTGCAACGGGAACCTACCACATTCACCATAAACCATAACACTAAATGTACTTGTCTTAACGCCAAGAAGTCTTTTACAGACATATAAATGAACTGTTTCTATTACATCAAAACGTTGTAAGCCCCAGACTTCAGATCCATATAGAAGTATTGGTCCTATTTTAACATCAAATATTTTAAAAAGCTGCTTAATGAAACACTTCCTAAAGCATTTAACTGTCAATGTGGTTGTGTTCCCTTTCTCAACTGAAATACTTAACTGGGTTCTTCCATTTCTCTATCAAACAGCTTTCTCGATTGCTGTGCATTAGACCTTAATTGCTGTTTTAAGCCTGGTCAAAACACTGTACATAATATTTGGAACACCCTAGCATTGCCTTGTCTGCAGGTCCCCAAACTCTAAACAAAACTGACTTTGCCAGCAAGATATTTTAAAATGTTACTGATAGCAACCATTACTTACAATCTCGATCATAATGGTGATAGTCTCCCACTGACTTAATGTTATGATATTATGTTTTAATGCTGTATATGTCAATAAAAAATGAAAAACATTTGTAAACATTTTTTTTGTTCGACCCATATGACTAAGAACAAGGCCCTTCTGACTTTTTCCATCGGCCCATTTAACTTGGCACTTCTCGGCCCTTTGTCCTTCGACCCATTTGACTAGATCCCCTTCATGGGCCCACTAAGAGAGACTTTTGGAAAATCAGGAGCATGATGAGGGACAGGGAATCACAGAGAGTTCCTTGGTATTTGTCGTCTATCAATAGAATGACAGTGTTAACTGGATGATATCAAGTCCTGCACAAATTTGCTTGACATCTGTTTCATGGAAGTAGCTATCTTGATCTTGTTATCATTTATAACAAAACACTTACGGTAACAAAAGTATTGGTGATTGCTTTTGATGATTAAGTACTGGCATGTGTGTTATAGCAGTAATAGGTTTTGGTGTTTCCAAAAAGTCAGCATTTGTGTTTCTGTGCTATAACCATGATACATGGCTCCGAAACACAAAGGAACTAATGTTATGCAGACAGAACATGGATCACAGTGTAAGTTGGATTGTAGAGGCTCACTGCTGACCTTATGGTGTGATGGAAGTCACCTGATGGAAGTTAGGATCTATTTGATTTGAGAATGTAATCAGTTGTTCAGCCAGCAGCATGACTTCATTATGAATTGGTATGACAGAAGATTGCTGCTGTGTCTGCAGGTTATCACAAACATCGTAAAGAATGGCAGACGTGAAGAAGCTGGTGTATTCCATCCTGAAGTTCCTGGAGGACCAGAAGACGGCCGGGTCTTTGAGTGATGACGCTGTGGAGAGCGTGGAGGGTACGTGTACAACACTAGATCTTCTGGGGGGGGATTCTGTTTCCTATCATGCCTGACTCTTTCCCTCTCTATCTGTTACTTTCTCGCTATTCCGGCTTGGAGTTTGTCCCCATTACTGGGGTCGGGCTTGGTGATTGTGTTAGTGTTGTGTCATCACACACGCGTAACTAACGCTGTATTGTCAGGTCCAGAGTCAACGATGTACGAGTGTGTGAGTCAGTTTGATTTTTAGGCTGCCTTTAGCAATATTCCAGCAATATCACGGCGAGGGGACACCAAAAATGGGCTTCACACATTGTGCCCATGTGGGGAATGTGACCCAGGTCTGGAGCGTGACGAGTGAACACCTTAACCACTAGGCTACCCCACTGTCCGTCCAAAATATTTATGACCACTGTCACATAACTGGAACATTGCTGAATGCACTATTAAGCAAGAAACGCCCATGTAAACATATGATTGATGAGTGAAACATTGTGTTATACTGCTGGTATTATTCTTCACAGTTTCAATCCAGTGTCTTGAGTCCGCCTACAACCTCAACACTCGCAGTCAGGACATGGCTGCCAAATACAGTGTCAGCAAAAACCTCCTAGACATCTTCAATTCCCAACTGAAGTGTGAGGTAAGGTCTCATGTTTCCATGTTTCCATCAGTACTTCAATGAGCTGATGCAGTAGGGCCAGCAATCACCAATAATTACAGGAACCTTAGCAGCAGGGGCCGAGACCAGCAACAAAGTTTCTGTTGAGAGGGCAGAAAAGTTGTCTGCATGAACAATGACAAAAATATTAGTCAAATTCTAGATGGCGTTTTTGTGTGTCTGTACAACACTGTAATATCACTCACTCACCCAAACCCACCCACTCACTCACTGAGATTACAGAGTAGTGATTCTATGCTGTAGTTATGTTTTTCCTATTTGTTTCCAGCCTGACTCTGACTTTGCCAGCATGTCGTTGCATGAACCAACTCCACAGGAAAAGGAAGAGGCAGAGAGATTGAAAAACAAGGGTAAGAAGCCCTGTGTTGTATGTACTGGATTATGTCCCCCCTTCATTATGATCCACTGCAATACACTCATTACACTTTGTAATTCTAACGTTATGATGATAAGTCATTTCAAATTTACCCGTGAAGATCCAGTTTAGAATTGATCTTCAGTAACCCATGCTTGTCGTAAGAGGCGACTAATGGGATCAGGTGGTCAGGCTCGCTGACTTGGTTGTCACATGTCATCGTAGCATACATCGATGCTAATGCTGTTGATCACTGGATTGTCTGGTCTAGACTCGATTATTTACAGACCGCCGCCATATAGCTGGAATATTGGTGAGAGCAGCGTAAAACTAAACACGCTCACTCACTTCAAATCTGCTCATTTACCAGCCACATTCTCCTATGATGATAGGAGTGATTTAGATGGTGACATCATGGTGATGCTGTTCACAGAACACAATCTTTTCAAGTATTTCCATAAATAAGTGTAAGAAAGTTAGCTGAAGTTAAAAGGAAATGTTTTTCTCTTTCTATAATTTATTACTATATCTATATCAAGCTAAATCAATTCTGGTTGGAAATATGTTTTCTTTTGTTATACAAAAAGTAGTGTATAGTAACTTCTTTATTTCAGGTAATGATTTCATGAAGACGGAAAAGTTCTCTGACGCACTGGAGTGCTATTCAAAGGCTATCAAGATTGACTGCAAAAATGCTGTATATTTTTGTAACAGGTAATTCATCAGAGATACTTCCTTGTGTAGAATCAGATCAGTTGGACAGGCTAGATAACAACATGCTTTGTTCTTGGTTTGACTGGTGCAGTCTGGATGATTTAGATACGGCCATGATGTAGCTCGAATGTTGCAGAGTGTGGCTTTTTGAAACAAAGAGACAAACCAAAACATTACATAATAATGCTGCAGTCTAAGTAAACTCGACCTTCTACTAAGTAAACGCGACCTTCTTCAATGTTTTGTTAGACTCAGTATAGCAGTGTAACGAATAATACTGAGCGTAAGTTTACTTAGACTGAATAATGTTGATTGTTTTCCTGTCTCTAGGCAACCTGTTTCTCACTTCTTGGTAACACCCAATTGAATTCCACACTAGAGCCAAGAACCATGAATAGAATGAAAGCAACTGATACTATCTGCCCAGAATGTTCTATCTTTGATAATTAGGAAAATATACACAATACAACTACAATAATCACACAAAGAGTTACCTGTTTTAGATTTCCGTTATGATTGATCCATTTCAGTATATGTAGTCTCTGGCCGTTGCAAGCAGCATACAAGGGAGCCATCTCTGACTTAAGTTCAATACATGTAACTTAAACACATCTGTGTGGCCTAGTCCACACAGTTATTTTCAATCAGCTGTCTTATCACTGGTATGTTGCTGTGTGAGGCCAACACTAAACAAACATTATTAGTTTTTATTCTTCGGTGTATGACAACCATTTGTGTTTTGTCTTTCAGAGCCGCAGCATACAGTAAACTTGACAAGCACCAGCTTGCCATAGAGGACTGTAACCGGGCTCTCAATATAGACCCAGGATATAGCAAAGCCTATGGAAGACTAGGGTAGATATATGTTGATAATATTCTGTGTCTGTGATAGATCAGGGTAGCTAAATGTTGATAATCTTCAGTACCTGTGAAGGACTAGGATAGCTATGTATGTAGATGATAATTTGTAGCACCTGTAACAGGTTGGGGTATTTGAATATTGATAAGTAGTTACGTCAGTAAGTCATTTTCTGAACAAGTATGGGACATCACATTTTACGTCCAAACAAGGGAGATAACTAGGAATTTCTACACGCTGGATGTACATCTACCAATCAGCTACAAACCTTATCATGTGTGTGTTTGTGTATGCAGAATCGCCTACACAGCACTGAATGACCATGAAGGAGCCCGCGAATGCTACCGGAAGGCTCTGGAGCTGGACCCTGACAATCAGAGTTACCAAAATAACCTGGAGATCGCTGAGACCAAACTCAAGGAGGCCGCTGTCGGGGTGAGTTCTGCACAGTGGGAGCCATTAGTGACATTAGTTCAAAACTTCTGATTTAAAGTGATATTAAACACTGACTCATATATTACAAACTTGCATCATTTGAAAGTGTCAGAAGCAAAACCATCAAAAACTGAGTGATTTTCACAAGCCAAACAATCGTTGAGCCAATTGGGACCCAGGCACAAGGCATTCAGTTACCACTGCAGGTGTACAGGTCAGTCTGTGACAACTGCAGGTGTACAGGCTGGTATCTGATAACTGCAGGTGTACAGGTCAGTCTGTGACAACTGCAGGTGTACAGGTCAGTTTGTGACAACTGCAGGTGTACAGGTCAGTCTGTGACAACTGCAGGTGTACAGGTCAGTCTGTGATAACTGCAGGTGTACAGGCCTGTATCTGACAACTGCAGGTGTACAGGTCAGTCTGTGACAACTGCAGGTGTACAGGTCAGTCTGTGACAACTGCAGGTGTACAGGTCAGTCTGTGATAACTGCAGGTGTACAGGTCAGTCTGTGACAACTGCAGGTGTACAGGTCAGTCTGTGACAACTGCAGGTGTACAGGTCAGTCTGTGATAACTGCAGGTGTACAGGTCAGTCTGTGACAACTGCAGGTGTACAGGTCAGTCTGTGACAACTGCAGGTGTACAGGTCAGTCTCTGATAACAAGCTGTACAGGTCAGTTTGTGGTGGTACAGGTCAGTCTGATAACTGCAGGTGTATCAGTTTGTCAGTCTGTGACAACTGCAGGTGTACAGGTCAGTCTGTGATAACTGCAGGTGTACAGGTCAGTCTGTGACAACTGCAGGTGTACAGGTCAGTCTGTGACAACTGCAGGTGTACAGGTCAGTCTGTGATAACTGCAGGTGTACAGGTCAGTCTGTGACAACTGCAGGTGTACAGTTCCGTCTCATGTTGCTACAGCTGTATTAGCCTATCTGTAATGTTACAGAGTGGATTTGGAGCTGGTCCAGCTGGAGGTCTAGGCATGGACCTCGGGAGTATGCTAAACAACCCTTCACTAGTCAATATGGTGGGTATACACACTTTCAAACAGTGTCCTTTTGGCCCTTGCTACCTATGTGCTCTGTCTGTATTAATGTGTAGGTTTGATCCACAATACAATCAACAGCTGTCATGACTACTGTATTGTAATGTCCACTTCCTACTTTCTGAGCTGTTAAACTGTGGAACATTGACAATTTATAGGATTTACCATCTGTACATGTAGAGTTCTAGTTTTCTAATCCAAAACTCCAATTGAAAACAAATGTCAATTCCTCAAATTTTATTCCTCATGATTATGTGTTGAATATGAAGATTTGCAGATTAAAGATATTGAAGTTTGAAACTTGACTGAAATAACAAAACAAGGGATCATAAGTTTCAGTCCACAGTGAACATACAGAAAATGGCTGTCATTCGTTCACTGACAAAGTTACCTTCAAAAGCAACATATAAAAACTCAAAATTACCAAATAACATAATGCTAAATAATATAAAGATATAAGAATAATAGCATCATTGCAGGGTTAGGAAGTTAGTGTTGTTTTCACTAGTCTACACAAGTATTGATATGCTGGAGTGTTGCCGTCTGCCTGATGATAAACATGGCAGCCCATGAAGAACTGGTACTCCCTTCCGGTATTTTACTAGTCCCGGACAACAGACTTATGTTACTCCCTTCCTGTATTTTACTAGTCCCGAAACAGACTTATGTTACTCCCTCTGTATTTTACTAGTATTTTACTAGTCCCGACAACAGACTTATGTTACTCCCTTCCAGTATTTCACTAGTCCCGGACAACAGACTTATGTTACTCCCTTCCTGTATTTTACTAGTCCCGGACAACAGACTTATGTTACTCCCTTCCTGTATTTTACTAGACCCGGACAACAGACTTATGTTACTCCCTTCCTGTATTTTACTAGTCCCGGACAACAGACTTATGTTACTCCGTTCCTGTATTTTACTAGTCCCGGACAACAGACTTATGTTACTCCCTTCCTGTATTTCACTAGTCCCGGACAACAGACTTATGTTACTCCCTTCCTGTATTTTACTAGTCCCGGACAACAGACTTATGTTACTCCTTATGTTACTTCCTGTATTTTACTGGTCCCGACAACAGACTTATGTTACTCCCTTCCTGTATTTTACTAGTCCCGGACAACAGACTTATGTTACTCCCTTCCTGTATTTTACTGGTCCCGGACAACAAACTTATGTTACTCCCTTCCTGTGTTTTACTAGTCCCCGAAAACAGACTTATGTTACTCCCTTCTGGTATTTTACTAGTCCCGGACAACAGACTTATGTTACTCCCTTCCAGTATTTCACTAGTCACGGACAACAGACTTATGTTACTCCCTTCCTGTATTTTACTAGTCCCGGACAACAGACTTATGTTACTCCCTTCCTGTATTTTACTAGACCCGGACAACAGACTTATGTTACTCCCTTCCTGTATTTTACTAGTCCCGGACAACAGACTTATGTTACTCCGTTCCTGTATTTTACTAGTCCCCGAAAACAGACTTATGTTACTCCCTTCTGGTATTTTACTAGTCCCGGACAACAGACTTATGTTACTCCCTTCCTGTATTTTACTAGTCCCGGACAACAGACTTATGTTACTCCCTTCCTGTATTTTACTAGACCCTGACAACAGACTTATGTTACTCCCTTCCTGTATTTTACTGGTCCCGGACAACAGACTTATGTTACTCCCTTCCTGTATTTCACTAGTCCCGGACAACAGACTTATGTTACTCCCTTCCTGTATTTTACTAGTCCCGGACAACAGACTTATGTTACTCCCTTCCTGTATTTTACTGGTCCCGGACAACAGACTTATGTTACTCCCTTCCTGTATTTTACTAGTCCCCGGACAACAGACTTGTATTTTACTAGTCCCGACTTATGTAACTCCCTTCCTGTATTTTACTAGTCCCGACAACAGACTTATGTTACTCCCTTCCAGTATTTTACTAGACCCGGACAACAGACTTATGTTACTCCCTTCCTGTATTTTACTAGTCCCGGACAACAGACTTATGTTACTCCCTTCCTGTATTTTACTAGTCCCGAACAACAGACTTATGTTACTCCCTTCCTGTATTTTACTAGTCCCGGACAACAGACATGTTCAGTCCCATTTGTCATTATAAGGACACTCTTATATTGGTACTGAGGTGTGAGTGGAAGTATCTGCAGACCATGTGAATGCTGGTCATGTATGTTCTCACCATATTGTTGTGGTGTTGCAGGCAGCGTCCCTGATGTCCAATCCACAGATGCAGCAGATGTATGTACCACCTTTGTAATCTCCCTACACCTGTAGCAGTACAATCTGTACACTGTGTAACCAATGTCATCTTTGATACGCCACTTTTGTCTTGACTCTATGTAAACTGCTCCCTTTTTAATCTTTGCTGTTCAGCAAATGTTTTCTGTGGAACAATAACCTCAATCATTGTGGACTGGAATGAGGAGAGGTTAATCTCATGTAATGAGTAACCTCTCCTTGTGCCAGGAAGTGCAGGTTGAGTTTAAGTCCTTGATTCATGTGTATGATGTTTTAATTTAAGCACTATCCACTGAAGGGTCAGATAGTGTGACCTGTGCCAGACACAAGATATGAGTGCAGTGTTTTCCAAGCTGCCTATATCCATCTTGCCAATTGTCACTCTTATTGGTAACACCCTTTAAACCATAAAAGAAATGTTGAACTGCAAAATGATGTTGCCCCCACATTCAAATTATTGTTCTCAGCCTTTTAAGCATGAACTGTTTGGTGATCTGTGTTCCTTCGCCACTCTGTGAATGTTTCCTGTCTGATTCTACACAGGATGGCTGGGATGTTGTCCGGGGGTGGAGCCGGCCGTGAACCTCCCATGGGCGGTCAGGGAGGTCAGGCACCGGGGCCAGTGCCAGGGCCAGGGTCAGGGCCAGGGCAAGAACAGGGTCTGTCGTCTTTACTACAGGCGTGAGTATTATTGTAGCTACCTGTGATGGATACTTTTAAGAAAATGTTCAAAGCCATTTAGGGAAATAAATATATTATTAACGTATTTGAATTAGACTTATCATGCATTCTGAATGGTTCTGCAGTTTGTACAATATGTATAGAAATCATGTATATATTGTGTTTATACCGAGCTTATTTCATTGTCACTGAGGAAGAAGCATGCTGTAGGTTTCACCCAAGTCACTTCAGGCCTCGCACTCATGTCATGCTCACATACCTTTATACATCTGAAATGTGGTTGAACAGCAGCATTAAACATGTCCTACCCAGTTCACTCATCTAACTGTTAGTCTATGATGGTGCCAGTTAGGATTCCGTCAGGATCTGAAGTCGCAACCCTTTAGTGATGCAGTATTGAGCTGAGTTGTATTCAGGGCTCCAGATAATTTTTCAACATAGGGAGTACGTATTCCTTATTTTTTCAATACAGAAAATGCACTGGAAAGTACTGGAAAACAATAAGAGTACATCACTCTTCTTCTTCAACCATGTGTGGAAACGTGCTGTAGGCTAAGTTGAATCAAACTTTCTGGCCTCTGACCTCTGCCCCACTCCATAGCAGGACCTGTCAATCATCTCAATAGCGTGCAGATCGCTCCGATGATCACCTGACAGCCTGCCCTTGTCATTCTCTTTCTTGTCGCCCACTGCTGTGGACGTGTGTTATGCTCTGTCTGCCACTCGTCTCTACTTTTTATCATGAGGGAAGTAATTGGTCTTCTCGGCAGAGATAACACTGTGACAATTACAGAAGTTTTTGTTTTCCTGTCACTGATCCTCACACACTGTACGTTGATTGTATCGGAAGGTGTGACAGGCCTCACCGCTGCTAGTATTGTGCCAATTTGGACGATGAAGCATTCGAAGTGAGATGGTCCGTGTTAAACAGCTCGCCATTTATCACCATTACCGGACGAAGATTTCTCGATCCAGCATCAGATTCCTAAACTCAGCGAGAATTACGTTTGGTATTCCGACCCAAACTTTGAGTCCAGTGTCGGGACAGGGTGACTCCCCCTACTCGGCAGTGAACTTCATACTTCATCGTCACAGTCCCGATTGACAGTTCTACTGTAGTGACTTTTCTCAAACACCTGATACGGCATTGTCAGCGCCTACTGGCAATGTGTTTCCAATTTTCTGTATCGGCATTTAACTTACCTACAATGATTTATTGTAGTGCGAGCATGTCTACGTCGATCCCTCCAACTCCAGTGATGATATCAAGTTCAACAATCCCTGTTGGTTCGGCGTTTTCCGTCTAGTGTGCACCGCTTTCATTCGGTGTTACGCTCCAGTGCGTCGATTATACATGTATGGGTCGAGTGTACTCCAGTGCGTCGCTCTCACACAATTCGACGCTCCAGGGCGGATCTACTACAGTACGCTTTTGTTTGGTTCGTCACTGCAGGTCAGAGCGTCGATTCAGTTCGGTACGGTACCAGAGTGTCATCATGACTTTGTTGCTAGTTCGCACCTTCAGTGACTTTCTCTACTGCGAGTCTACCTTCAACACTACTTCCAACTTCAGTGTTGATGCCTCATTCTACAGTTTACCGGTGCCCAGCTTGGCTTTGGGGTTACGCTTCCTGCTTCTGTGGTGTTCACGTACGGACAGTGCGTTCACTCCAGTGCAGTGTTTTTATTCAGTTCGGCGCTTCAGAGCGCACATTTAGTTTTTATTGGCTCGTCTCTACACACCAATGCGCCGCTTTGTCCCTATTCGGTGCTTTCATTCAGTTCGGTGCTTCAGAGAGTACCTTTGGTTTTTGATTGGCTCGTCTCTACACACCAATACGCCGTTTTCAGTCCAGTGCGACGCTTTGCCCCAAAGCGCCGATCGTATCCAGAGTGACGTTTTACTCCAGTGTGCCGCTCGCTAATGTATCAACGCTTCCATCCAGTGCGATGCTTCCAGTTAGTGCATCGTTTCTGCTGGTTGTACAGAAGTAGTAGGTATGTCAGTAGAGCAGGCCTCTACATTACGGCGACGATTGACGATCCCGGATCTTTAAGATTCCTTCGTCATCTACCTTCCGATCTTCACCTTGGATGAATGATTCAATTCAACGACTCTACCCTTCGACGCAGATGTCAGCTCTACAACCACCCGATTTGACATACCTGTCCAGAACTTGTTGATGTAAAGGAAGGGTGATGAGGTTGACGAAACAGGCCATAATTACACCCAGAGTTACACCATAACGCTGCTACGAGTAGTCTGTAGTAACAAGACTCAGTGAAGCGTCGTAAATATTCCTGAATATCTAGCTGGTCTAGTATGCACAGTTTCTGCGTGTGGTACCAACAGTGAGGTTTTGTCAAGTAGCTAGCGTCCATTAACCCGGATTTTATGGGACTCGCCTGGTTAACTGAAGACAGTGGTGTCCGTTTTTTTGTCACTATTGCAAATGGCGGACTACTGTTTGTTTACTGGAGACTTTTGATGATTAGAGTGACACTAGAAGTGTCCTGACTAACTTGTCTTGGTCCCACGAAGCGGATAACTATCCCAGCCTTAATTGCCAGTGATGTTGGACGGTGCCATTCCCAGTAAGAGTGACTATGTCGAGTTTCGTCAGTCAGCCGAGAGATACTCAGTTTTCTATATTATATTAGTGTAAGCCCTCAGTCCAGAGGTCACTGCAGCTATGTCCGGACGGCCCACAGGCATCGATTTTACTGCCTTCGTCTCCCTTACGACCACTCCTGGGATCACCAGTCTTGTACCTCCGCCATTCCATCAACTTTACGAATGTTCCGGCAGATTGAAGATCCCAATGCACTACCTTCTCTCACTCCATCTGGCGGACCAACACTTCATTTGGCGAACGTTCCTGCGATCACCGATTGCACAACCTTCATCACCTTCAGAACACTAAAGATCACAGCTTATCAATCTCTTGTAAGATCGGTACTGGAATATTGCTCAACTTTATGACACCCCTACCATCAAGTCGACATTACAGCTCTTTATAGAGTACAGCGTCGAGCAGCCAGATTTATAACATCAGTCTATTCCCAGACTAGTAGTGTCGCTAAGATGCTAGAAGACATTGGCTTAAAACCACTCAAAGAATGACGCAGGGAACAAGGACTACTACTTTACAAGATAATGAATGGGCTAGTGGCACTACCACCGATCAACTTTGATCCCCAACACCACCAGAACCGGGAACATTATACACCAAACTTTAAACACATGCAGTGTAACACAGAGACATTGAAGCAATCTTTCTACCCAAGGATAATAAAGACAGGGACTTACTCCCTGACAGGGCAGTACAGGCACCTAGTTGTGATTTTTTCACAATTCATTCAAGACTAACCAGTGCATGGGCACCACCCAACCCCTCGTGTGTTGATCGTTCCTGCCTCTAGCGCTCCATCCCCATCTCCAGTGGTGGATGGACGAATTGAATGTCTGCAGAGGAGTTTATTTAAGGCCGTTCGTCCCGACTCACCACCTGTATGTGCACGCATCTCTACACGGGTGGAGGGCTCACTTTCTCGATCAGCAGGTGGCGGGGCGGTGGTCTCTCGCAGATTGCGCCTACTATATCAACATTCTAGAGCTCAGGGCAGTGATTCTATCCATCACTCACTGGCAAGAACTTCTACGATCGATTTCTCTCATGGTCCGGTCAGACAATGCAGCAGTTCACAGGGTCTCCTCAACTCCTGCAGTGGACACAACAGTTCTTCCAGTTGGTGGACAATCTCTGTTCGAGCCAACCATATTTCTGGTGTGAAGAACGTGATTGTGGATTCTCTGTGTCGGCCGATTCGTCCCTCTCCGACAGAGTGGAAGCTACATCCACAGGTGTTCCAGACCTTCTTGGATCTATTCGCCACCCGCTTTAACCACCAGCTGCCTCTATTCGTGTCTCCGATTCCGGACCCTCTTGCTTGGGGTCAAGATGCTCTAGCCATCCCTTGGGACGACCTAAACGCGTACCCGTTTCCACCAGTGGCCCTATTTCGACGCATTCTACTGAAACTGCGCACAACTCAGCGGATAAAACTGCTTTTGGTCGCACCCTGATGGCCGGCCAGAAGTTGGTTTGTAGATCTACAAGAAATGGCCGATCCAGAGCCTGTACCACTTCCCGATCGTGTCGATCTCCTGGTTCATCTGCACTCCGATCAGCTGCATTGGTCTCCGCTTACACTCCATCTTCACGTTTGGCGTATCTACATAAGTTGGTAACGTCTAAGGGATATCTTAAGCGAGTCGCTACTGCCATCACTACAGGGCATCGTACCTCCACTAGATCACTCCATGATGACCAGTGGAGAATTTTGAAGCGTACTGCAGGACGAAGGGTATAGCATCTCCCACTACGGTGTCACCACAGATGGTTGCGGAGTACCTTCAACATCTTCGAACCTCCAGGAAGCTTAAGGGTTCTACACTGTCTACCTACCTGGCTGCTCTTAACACCGTTATTGCACCAGCCTCGGGTGTGAAGGTGTCTACAGTTCCTGAGCTCCAATCTCTCCTCGGATCTTTTAAACTTGCTGATCAGTCCCGGAAGTTCCGACCACCGGCTTGGGACCTTTCCGTTGTGCTTTATCATCTTACGTCAGCGGACTATGAACCTTTGGAGGAGAAGGACTTTGAACATGTCTCCTTTAAGACCTTCTTTGTCACTACTTTGGCTACTGCTGCCTGCATTTCCGAGCTACACGCCTTCGACATTTCTCGGGTGCGTTTTGAGAGGTCAAGACATGCTAAAGTATTCCTTGGGTTGAGATGGGACTTTGTTGCCATGAATCAACTACCAGGTCAGCCGGACCGCACGTTTACGATCCTGCTGCTTCTAAGAACCGACGCAGGGTGCGCAAGAGACTCTTCATCCCGTTGTCTACTGCCTCTACCTCAGAAGTCTTGCACTAATTTGGCGTTCTGGGTGAGATCCACTATCCTGCGTGCCTAAACTTATGCAGACCTTCTTCCACCATCGACGGCAAATCCTCACGAGACCTGGGCCTTAGCCTCTACCATGGCGCTCCATCGGAACTGCTCCATTACAGCCATCATGGAGGGCTGCTTTTGGAGATCGGGCACAGTCTTTGCCTCACACTATCTCCGAGATCTCTCAGTTACGGACGTGGAAGATCTGCACCAGTTTGGTCCTTTGGTCCTGGCCCAACAGCTGTCATCGACCCGTGCTCGCAGATAAGAAGCAATCCTTCCTTGCGTCAGTCTTGCTCTGTACCTAATAGAAGATATCGATGTCATCCATATCTTGGTACTGTTTTTGTTTGGGCATAGACCACCTCACCTAGGGAACTAGGGCGTGTCTGCACTGTCATAGATATGACTCGATAGACTGAGAGGCCAGTCTTGTGCTACATGCAGAGGTGGTTAACACTCCGCTTACTGACCTCTACTCTTCGAGCAATCACATCAGTGAAGTGTTGATTTCCGATTACCTGCGTGGTTTTCAAAGCGTTCCGCTCCTAAGTCCTTTCTCGTCTCTGGGAGGGAGATTGGTACTGAACGTTAAACAAGTTGAGCAACCGGTTATTCCCTCTTTCACCGTCTCCAGCGTGTCTGTGGGGGGTAGTTCCGAAGCAGGGACTGGCCAGATTAAGGTCTTCAACTTTAATTCACTGGGGTCACTTGATAAATCGCGGGGAGACAGGGTCTACTTGCCAAACTGCGTCCTCTGTTTCTCAAAAGTTGCAGCTGAAAACCACATTAATTTGGGAGCGCCCACTCCCTAGAGTTTTTGTGCTGTGTAAGCCAAGGGGTTATCTGAAGCAACCCATCACAAGTTCGGAGTTAGCATATAAGGAGTTGTGCTTTCTCCTGGCCTCCTTGTGTTATGCGACCTCATGGTTGTAGAGTTGACACAGGGTAATCTGCGGCCCGCCTTCCAACCGTGGGATAATGCATACCGTGAGATAGGATAAGTTTCAAAATTTGGAAATTTTAACATAAATTGTATATTTATATACTTATCCTGTCTCACGCAATGGAGGCCCACCCGACCTGCCCCACATCACAGATTACTGGAAGCTCCAAGATGAGAATGACAAGGGCAGGCTGTCAGGTGTTTATTGGAGCGATCTGCACGCTATTGAGATGATTGACAGGTCCTGCTATCGGAGTGTGGGCAGTGGTCAGAGGCCAGAAAGTTTGATTCTACTTAGCCTACAGCACGTTTCCACACTTGGTCGAAGAAGAAGAGAGGTGCATAGTGTGAGATAGGATAAGTATATAAATATACAATTTATGTTAACATTTCCAAATTTAGAGTACTGAATGGAATTTAATGGAGTATGAGTAATCTTGTGTTTCGTTTCATATATGCACCACAACATTGTTACTCTTGTGTAAACAGGTCAATAAACAATAAACCAATACTTTTTCAGATAAATACGTGTGTAAATGAACTTAAGACTGTACACCATTGCTGTGGTGCGTATCTGCTACGTTTTCAAAATTATTTCCTACCGTATCGTGCATATTTTTTATCCGTACATATGCCGATTCGGCCCTTATCTGTATCCCTGGTGTGACGAGTTTGTTGTTCCTGTAGGGGCCAGGCGCTAGCGTCACAGATGCAGCAGCAGAATCCAGAGTTGGTGGCCCAGCTCCGCGCTCAGATGAACCAGCAGCAGCAGCCATCACAGAACACGTACTCAGGTCAGTCAGGGGTCAACTTATGGCGTGATTAAACCCAAGACCACCATAATAAGTTTGTATTTGGATTGGATGTAAATGTGAAGGGGCTTGCATGAGCGAAGCCACTGCAAGTTAATTAAGGGTTTAAAATGATCCTGTAGGGTGATGATAAGGAGACCAGTTCAAATAAATCTTTAAGGAAAAAGTTTCATGATATTTTTATGCTTTTTTGCAGATCCTTCAGATCCAAAATGACGGCATTTTCTTGTCCCATATTGGTTGCAAGAGTTGAATCCTGAGATCATCATCCATCACATTACTCAACCATTGATTACCATGTCCATAAGGCTGTGTGTGCGTTACGACAGTTATACAGCCCATCACACACACAGCCAGCCAGCCAGCCAGCCAGCACTGCAGTCCACCGTATACACCCCTACTGCAGGAGCAGCAGCCCAGTGTATTCAGCTTATGTCATATCCCTGTCGACACCCTCGGCTGCTTGTATGGATCGAAATGATGGCATCGCTTTGGCTGCCTGTAATTTGTGTAATGTCGAGTGATGTGGACATTTGGATGCGCTTTTAGTTGCAAAATACATACCACGGAAATTTGAGTGTAAATAGCATTTAGTTTGATAACATGTTGTTAATACAAGCCATGTTTTGCCTTGGTTTGCTAACTAAGTCTTGTTTTGATACTATTGTGGATCCCTGTGAAAACCCCACAAAAGTTCGCCTTGGTTTGTCAAAATGGATAATGATAATATTGCTGAAATGATCCACTTGTACGGTCCACCTAATCTCAATGATGACAGTGTCAGTACTATTTATTTCAGTTTTCTAGGTACTGACCTAATTGTTATCTCTTGTTAATGTGAATCCCATCATTAGTTTTATTAAAGATACACCTCTTCAAAAAGTGATGTTTTTCTAAATGTTAATATTTGTTTCCTCTCTTATGTAAAAATAAAAGTAGATTTGTGCGATATATGTCTGAAATTTGTATATTGTTAGCATACAGTACAAACCACTGGGACATCACTGTTTGTAACACTAGTCAACCTATCAAAAACATCCTTGTCTTGTAAGTTGGTGAATAGCTGTTGCCATGGTAACATCATGCATATACGCATACATAGTATGTATCACATTGTGGTGTTTGTATATTTGTGAATAAAGCATTGATAATGACCAGATATTATTGGTGTAGGTACTTATGTCTGTTTAAAGTTATCAAGTTTAAAATTACACGACAGAGATGGTTGTTAATAGCCAGAACTGGCAAGGTTAGAAATCAGGAGCTCTTTAAATTTCTGCTTACAGTTCCATCTCACACTTGGCTTGACCACTTGGCCTGAATGTCTTGTGTGAATGTTGCAAGGTCCACAGCTGTTGATAGGCAGTTAATTATACCAGAGACAGTTCGTAGTAATGGTCACAGGTACTGTGTCTAGGCCTCTTTCCATTGGACAATCTTCATGCTGAGACGATAATACCTCCCATTCTGTAACATAGATGTACAGTCCTGGGGAAACCCCTGGGAATTCCCCTTGACAAGGAATATATATAAGACAGCTGTACTTGACCAATTTGACGCCTTCTCGGACTTTGTGTTAATTAGTTGTAGGTGTAAATACCATTGCCTCCCCTCTGTACAGTAACATGTAAAGCTGGCAACTATCTGCTGATCAGTTCAGGTTCTCTGTGTAGCCATTATCACCATCATCTGTCTTAACATCTCAGCATCAACACCTTTCTGGAATAATGTGGCTCCACTGGTAGGTTATGGCTGCAGCTCACAGGTTGTGTTGCAAATGGCTAGCAAATATTCAGGATATTTAAGGGAAATACAATGCCCTGAAAAATTGTGGATGATTTGATGTAATGCAAGGAAATTTCTCTCTGAACTCCTACATATAAGCTGTTTTACACAATCTGCGATATCGACAGGTGGAACTTGATTACAGACAGAGTACTGTGTATTCATACCATGTGTAGTGTGTATGTTTAAAAGATGTATTCTACCTCATCAGACTATAACAACGGAATACATGAAAGTATTAGAATAGTTGCAGTTGTTGAGTATAGAGCAGGGAACCATAATTTGTCATCCAAGACCGGCTTCCATATAATAATGCTTTACAAACCATTGTGATGTCATCACTTACTGTGCCATCACAATCAAATTACATCACTTGTCTGTATACAACAGAGGCTTGTTTGCAGTACTTTTTCAGACAACTTTTTACTATTTACGAAAATAATTTTTTTTATTGACTTAGGATAATTTAAATCTTACCCCTGTGACCTTTAATGCCATATGTCAACCCTTGCTGGTAACATGATTCATGCAGATACATGTTTTAAACCTTTATCAGCTCAGGTTGTGGGTGAGATTCTGTATATCAGACAAACATCTGACCTTATGTGTGACCACATTGGTAAGACTTGACACTGACAGCAAGAACAACCGTCACAATATTACATCAGTACCGGCTGTATCCCTTGGTGAGATTTATCATCTCATTTGTGTCTTACAGTCAATATTTGCTATTCTAGTTTATTATCCACAGTTTGACGTATTGGAAATTCATACAAAGACTTTGATAAATGGTAAACAAGTTTAGATATATATATATTCAATGGCTGGTTATCCTAGAGTGCCTTCTGTTAGCTTCACTCACATTAGGACTGGATGAGTGTGTCCTGGCACATTGTCCATTGTGTCATCATTCTTAATTTGGTCTAGAGAACAAGCTGTGTCAAACCATGTGTCTTGTAGTTTTAATATCACTTTTATTACATGCTACTGCCACAGACTTTCAGCTGCACCTCTAAATGTTTGTTATGTAATATTCAATTGGCTATATTAGACTGCAGACTGCAGTATCAGAATGGTAGAAGCATCAACAAGGTAACAGATGAAAATGTCAAAGATTAAGCTTATGTTTCCTGAAATTTCAGTGAGGAACATTTACTCTCTGAGGTCATGAATTCCTGTAAGTATTAACATATAACATGTCAGTGTAATTGGTAAAGGTGAGCTACAGACCCTTTGTCTCCACCACAACCTATGTTTGACTTTGATCAGCGTGTGTGTATTTAATAATGACAAGACCTTTCTTGATACAGCTGGAGCACCTCAGTCGACGTTACTGCCTATATAACTTGAATAAATATTGATAAGACTTATTACAAAGTTCAGCGTGAAATTATCCAGTCATATAATCCAGAAAATTTTGAACATTATCTTTTCAAAAAACATAAAGGAACTGGTTGACTCAGGATCGGAGGTGCTGCAAGTTGCTATGCAGCGTTGCAGCCTTTACTTTATGCTGCTAAAGCATTCCGAGTCCAGCTTCACCGTGTGTGTTTCTTGGTCAGTCAACGCCATACTTCCTCTCCCTCTTTGGTGATACGTGTGACATTAACTACCATGTTTCCTTCAACCTTATATGCTTGATGTTACTGATGATCCTCCGGTAGTGCTCCCTATCAAGTTAACCATGTTAACCAAACATGTGAGAACTGCTTCGCTTTGTGCTTTTCCTCTCACATCTCGGGGCAGCGTAGTGGTTAAAGCGTTCGTTCGTCACGCCGAAGACCCGGGTTCGATTCCCAACATGGGTACAATATGTGAAGCCCATTTCTGGTGTCCCCCCACCTTGATATAGCTGGAATATTGCTAAAAGCGGCGTAAAACTAAACTCACTCACTCACTCTCATATCTAGCTGACACACAACTGGAATTAAGAGCAGCTTTAAACCCATCCGACAAGACAAGACAATTGTTTATTGTATTTTAAACAGCCGGCCCTTATACAAGAGAGTTACATACAGAGTTGCAATACATGTTGTTGGGATATACATTAGGGCATGATTATTTGTAAGGCTCGTTACGACGAATAAATGCATATATAACATAGAGAGCTAAATTATGTTGGGTGGATGTGCAGCTTATTGAATACTAACCTGCCTAATACTGTTTGCAAAATGCATTACAAAAGTGAAGACGCAATCATGTCATTATGAAACATTACAGATTTTCTCAAAGCTCTCCATATACTTGCACCATTTGTCTTGAATTTTATGAAACAATCATCAGCTTTAAGTGGTATTTTAGGAGCTGTAGTATCAACCAAGATTGTATATGGGAAAAGCTTCCCCTACCCATCAAACTCTCATAATCTTTTAGCATGCACCTTGTGCAAGGATACCCACGCTATAGTAATACTCATTACTGTGTCACCTCATGAAGCCATCACTTGTAATATCAGGTATTGTGCTGGTGCTTGCTGAATATACAGTCATGTAAGGTAGAAATACGGTATTGTTTCTGTGTTGCCCTGGATTCCAGACAATATATTAGACTGTAACCCACAAAAAGAAACAAATATATCAGCTACAGAATATATGGTACACAATATTTTGAAACTACCACTCAGCATAAAGGGTAGTAGTATGGTTTTCCTGTCACCAGGATAAGGTACAAACATTCTACACAGGCCGAGGTCGGTGACCCATTAGACGTGTGCCCCTAACATGATGAGCAATATTGGTCCTATATTTTCTTATACAGTATCTTTTTTAACTGAGTTTTCAATCAAGCTGTGGATATTCTTTTGAAACATATGTTATTTTCTTTTTGAAATTTAGTGTCTGTCAGACCTTCCCCAACTGTCTGATAGTGTAATGGATGTGCAACAGATATGAATCTGTTAAATAATGTGACAATCACATGCCAACTTACAAGGTTCTCAAAATGTTATTTGCAAAGGTGAACCAGAAGATGCCACATCTACAAGGGTTATGCCCTTACCTCCCCGACCATGCCAGTAGGTGGCATACTGCTGAAGGGAGAACTTCCTCATTGCACCTCAAGATACATGGGCCACATTTTATGATTGTGAAAAGACAGTTACTTAGCCTGACTGTGGTTGATACATTTACTTTCAGAGTGAGAAGCTGTTTCATGTACATGTACTTGCATATCTCTGTGTTGTTACTTATATTTTCAGTATTTTAGCAGGCTTTCATATGGGAAACCTAACATTGAACTTGAATGTGAATACTGATGTCAAGTTTGTTATGGCCTGTTTGTCTGTGGTCTCACATGGGTCCCCCAGTGTTAAGATCTTCTCAGAAACCACTGGACCAATAATAATGAAACTTTACATACTTATTCCCACTTTTGATGACATCTTAAAATGATTAAGAGGGTGAATTTGATTTTAAACATAGTGAAAATGTAAATCATCTGGCCAGCTCTTTATGTTATTTTGGTATACCCAGTAACATTGGGGATTCAGGTTGTCACCATTATTTTACCTTCGCACTTTGGATAATGCTGCTAAATTCTCTCAAAATGTATGTTTGGGTTACAGAAAACATCTCTGAAATTGCTGGACTAAGGAAGCTAAACATGAATTATGCTTTGCAATAATGTTTACAAAAATGTTAATTCATTTATGCACATTTAGAAACATTGAAATTTGTATTTCTGTTTCCTATCAGTTAATAATTTATTACCAGAATTAAACATATATGTGGGACAACTTTTGTTGAAGGGCAGTCCCTGTTCATATTTCCTCCTGTTTTCTAGATATCTGGGTGAGCTGCATAGCCTGACACATCTGTTCACTTATACATGGTATATATAATCATTGTATTTAATTCATTATTGTATTGTTCCTCCCACCTGCCAGTCAAAGCTACACACTTGAAACTTGGAGGATTGTTTTGCCTTTTGTAGACACTGCTAGTGCATCGGCATGTTCAGATTGTTGTGCAATACTGTGTTTCCTGTATAGCTCACTTTGTGATTATTGTTGAGGAGGAATCATCTGTAGCAACATTTCATATCTCACAACAATCGGGGCGGTGGGGTAGCCTAGTGGTTGAAGTGTTTGCTCGTCACGCTGAAGACCCAGGTTCGTTTCCTCATGTGGGTACAATGTGTGAAGCCCATTTCAGGTGTCCCCTGCTGTGATATTGTTGGAATATTGCTAAAAGCGGCATAAAACTAAACTCACTCTTTCAACAATCGATTCACGATAAAGGGGGTAGTGGTGTAGCCGTGTGGTTTGAGTGTTCACACTCCACACTGAACAGGTGGTTCCAGTCCCAACATGAAGTTCATACTACGTGTCACAGCTAGTGTATTTCCGCTGCCCAAAGTGGCATAAACCTAGTCTTGAACTTAATACCAGACTGCCTAGGCTCTGTGGAGAAGCATTATATTATAGTTTGTGGAACAACATGGTCACTGTTGTCTTTACCAAGTGAATTCAAGGCTTTCAATAATCAAGCATGTCCTCAGACAGAATGGCTGATGAAAGAATGAAGGTGACAGGCCATGAAAACTGAAAAACTGTTCTTAGCAACATTTAAACTTTGGCATCAAAAACAGCATCAAAAACAAATTTTGAATGCAGTTTTACCAAGTTTTTTGTTGCATATTAGTTAAACTGACAGATTATGCTTAGGTAAAAGTCTACCTGTGGCAAATTCAAATGAAAAGTTGAACATGCCTGAAAATGACATTTTTCTATAAGCAAGGTTCCCTCTATTGCATTATTGCAATGTCAGCAATATCACCATGGCCTGTTGATGTCTGGTTTCACTTTCAGGCAGATCGATGCTCATGCTGTTGATCACTGGATTGTCTGGTCCAGACTCAATTATTTACAGACCACATATAGCTGGAATATTGCAGAATGCGGCAAGAAACTAAACTAACTCACTCACTCAATACCATGCACAAACCATCCTGAAGGTCAACATTGCCACATAATCAGTCAGGTCACAAATCATGTTTCAGGTAAAGGGGAGGCTGCTGTCTTTATACAATACAAGTTGGGACCAACACTGTAAACTTCGGGCTTGTTTTCCCTGGTGTCAACTGTATAAGGTCAAGGTCATTTCATTATATTACCAAACCATGGACAAATAGAGGAATGGAGTAGACAACAACCATATGGGGACAGTCATCAGTTGGATATACTCATATACTCGGTAATTTACTCATGGAAACAAATAAGAGGGCACAATAAAGCTGAAGGAAGACAATTGTTGCGTGCATTATGAATTCTTCATAGAATAACTGTAGAATATTTGGACCTGGTTCTCAAAATTGTCGTTCAGGATACATGCAGGATGTCCTGTCTAACAAATGCAACCAGTTTGATCTGTTCCCTATTTCTTGTCATCAGTATTGGTCAAACTTGGGATCACCCTTTTGGCAGATGTAGCGTCTGTAAGTAAAGCAGGGTGAATGAATTGTGTTTGTTGTTGGGTTTCTGTCACATACAGCATTGTTTGTTGGCTTAATTTTTGCAAGTTTTGTACTGTTTGGTTTTGCTCTATTTTCATGGAAAGAACTATGAAGGTGCTTTGATAACCTTCCCCACATGTACTTGTTCATGCCAATAAACAAGGAATGATAAGGTCTGTGTTGTGTCTTGATGGCCAGAAGTAGACTTCATGCAGTTTAGTAGTACTGAGGGGTGGGTGTGCATGCCACAGCCATCACGTTGATCATCCAGGGGGTTGTAAAACTGTACCTTTGACTGCAGGATTCATCTTGGGAGATGTTATCAGTATAAGACTCTGACTGTTAGAGTCTGTTGTAACATGACTGGGATATTGTATGGATTTGTACAAGGTCATGCCATGCCTTTCAATGGATTTCATCAGGCCTGTTGTGACACCAAAACTGGTTTTTACAATTTCATTTCCAATCAGACTTTTGTTACCGTTTTGATCCTCCAAACCATATTTCAGTTATCTTGTACACACAATATAAAGATTATCCAACATACACCACAGAACAATCTAAAACCAAATACTGATCAGGTTTTACAATTCCCAGTAGCAGATCTTGACTTCTATGGAAACAACCTGACACTTTTTCCTGTGAAGAGACACTGCCATCACAACCAATGATTTGGTATTCCCGTCATGTACACTTACTGAACTGTAACGGTGTGCTTGCTTAAAACATGGAGGCCCATTTGATAGATGAACAAGCAACAAAGAAATAGAGTATTGGATTATTTTACTTCCTTTTAGTTTATTTTTATACAGAAGGTTTCTTAACAATTTGCATTCCACGAGCAAAACAACCAAACATACTTTAGGACTTCCAGAAAATAGTCTGTTGTTAAAACACTTCTTCCCATGTAAGACATAAACCTCATGAAAACATGACACACATATATTGTTTTATCATCTTACATGGGAGAATGTAGTAACACCAAGAATACCTTTTGAAAGAATCAAACTATATCTGATTGTTTTTGCTGATTCATGCATGGGTGCGCTTTACAACGCTTACAAGACTTCTTCGGAAGTCACACAGGTTGTTTAACCACCCAAAGTGATCCAACTTCAAAAATGGTTTGATGGTCAAAAGCTTAAATTTGAATGCTTTTTAGATTCCAGATCCCCAAATAGTTGATGTGAAAAGTGTCTATCTCCTACAATCTGTTAACTGGATTTGGGCGCTTGTAAAGATTCTGCTAAAAATAGCTTTCCAATACTCTGTGAGGAGAACTCTGATATCTGTTTGGTGTAGTTGTCGATCTGACCCGCTACAAGTAGGCAGTCAAGTCGTGGTGGTGGCTGGAGCGGCTTAAACAGCTTTGACAGATCCTCCTCAGGCAGTGGCGCCTCACCTCGTGCCTGACGGACTTGGTTCTCTTGTGTCTGTAAAAATGAGTGAGTGTTGTCACAGCATTACTGTAGATGATGGGAGTTATTACACAACCAAACAAAGCAATGCTTTACTGCATGAATAACTATCATGGGATAATGAACACACTGTAACGACTCATCCTGATGAGTTTGTTTACAGCAACCATGGGAACCTCTTCTTCAAAAAAAAACATCAAATAAATGTTATCCTACAATTGAGAAACATTAAACAACACCACAGTTTCATCATAATATTATGTACAAAGCCAGCTTACCCTTTTGAGAATGTGAGCCTGCTTTGCTTGTGTTTGTCTGAACTGTTGCCGTTGGAAGTTCAGGTACTTGTTCGTATCCATGGCAACATCATCCACGCACTCCATCAACTGTCGAAGATTCTTTTCTAACATTGAGCTGCAAGTGAGAAAGTATGACTTCAGGTCTATGTTAGTTGTATAACAATCAACTCCAGAATCTGATAAATAAAATAGTGAAACTTGAATGTGCATGTGTTGTAATTACATCAAGGAAGCTTTCTTGTACTCTGAAGTAGGGTTTGGTTACATACATGGAATAACAATGACAGGCATAATACTACTTCATGAATACATCTCATTGACACTACTGCAATAAAATCAGAGGACAATAAGACGATATACAGGACAAGATCCTTACAATTATCAAACACTATTGCATGATACACCAACCTGGTGGCCAGGTCGAGGAAGGCAAACTCTTGACTCTTCATCTTCTTGTCATCCAGTTCACACAACAGGGAATTCACCAGGTGGGAGTTCTTCATGACGACGGGGATTTCCTCAAACATCTTCTCAAAGCTCATGTTGTGGCTGGTGATGCCCTCAGGGGTAAAATCACCCTTGGCATAGAACTCCATCATCTCTGGCGTCAAGCGGTAGGCCTTCAATGACAGGAAACCCTGTGTCGTCTTCAGGGGGTCTGTATGAGAAGTTATATTGTAAATATCTCTCCCAAATTATCAGGTTGGTGACCATATAGAAATAATGCAGACATGAATACTCAAGAAGACATCCTTGGAGTTCATGACTCATCGCTCTGGATTTGAAACAATAGAATGGCATACCACATGACACTGATCTGAGCACACAAAAGAAGCCAGTTTAAAACTCAACAACAGCTGTCTCTTCAAGTTCCTGCCAGTGGCAAGACATACAATTTTACAGATCAATATCATTTATCCAAATTTTAATTCAACCTACATTTGGTTAAACATGCTAAATGAAAGGAGTTTGTTCACTAATTACACCTCGACACAGCAATATTCAAGCTCTATGATGGTGGTCAGTAAAGAGAAGAGTATTAATTGAAGACTGATTTATGTAATTGGGTTATAATGACATCCATCAACCAAGTTAATAAGCCTGACTACCTGATCCCATTAGATGCCTCTTTCAATGTGTATAGGTTACCAATGACCAATTCAAACCAAGTATCTTCACAGGACCATTATGCATGTTAAATGGCATTACGTTACAACACAGAATTTGGATTTCAACATGCATCAACATGAAAACTTTGCCAATAACCATCTATACATGTGATGATATGAATCTCTTTTACAATACATACCGTAGATGAGTACCACTGACTCTTCAATGGAGTGCTGATAGTTGAACTGGGAGTCCAGCAAAGGTCGGTTGATGAAAGAACCGAAGTATGTGCTCTGATACCATCCAACGTGAAGATGGTCAATGTTGACATGACGAAGGTTCCTCATCATCTCCATCTGATACTGGACTGAAAGTGTCACAATTTGTCTTAATGAGTACATATTGACATCACTAATAACGCTGTAATAAGCAGGTTAGGTAGACAGAAGGAAGGGTATCTGAGGAAACCTCAGTGTTCTGGGACAACATGGTAAATGGTCACATACAAAATAAGTCAACAATATTTATGGGATACAGTGTATGATTCTATGAATGTACACACTTCTCAAGGTGGGATAATCAGATATGTCTTTCTTTTTAAACATTAACTTGACATATTACAAGAATCATTCATGGATGGAGCAGCATATATCAACTTCATCATATTAGGTAAGAGTAATTGAGAATGGTGTTATTCCTCTTGTAGCATACTAGCAACAACACAGTTGATGACATAACCGGCAGATACCAGAAATGTGCTTCCTACATTATACTGACTGTGGTAATCAAGCCCATACCTTCTGCACCACAAGCAAACAACACTGTGCATTTCCATGTCAGGGTAAGATAAAGCCACTAGTGACAAGACTAGTGCAAAAGGTGTGTGCAAAGGTGTATTCACCAATGTTTGTTTTAGTAACAAGAATAACAAGTAAAAAGTGAGGTATAGACCAGTTTCTGAGAACTCCTACCTTCATCAAAGTCTTCCTCCTCATTGTGTCTGGGGAAGGGGAAGCAGTTTGTGATCTCCAGCCTGTTCTCCACCACCAGCCCCAGCAGCACCCCCTGCACCAGGTCCGTGCCCCCTGCACCCTCCTCCTGGCAGTGCTTAATGATCTTCAGCACAACCTGCAACCAAACACACACTCAACAGGCCATGCTCACTTTCTAAATCAGTGTAAATAAAGCATACAACCAAAACATTGTTGAACATATGGGTGATATCCTTCTGACCTTACACTGTTTCCATCAGACATCAAATATAATACAGTTGAAATATTGGTCATTGACAATTCCCCCCCCAGTGTTAGTGAAAACTCTTCAAATCATGCTTGATTTTAACTTTTAAGTAACCAAACTGAAACAACATTGTTTTAGATCAGCCCTATTCATTGGACATTTCTTCAACTAAAACTGCTGATACATCCTATACCAATCATCCAAACATAAACATAAAAATAGTAATTTCTGCTTTTAACCAAATTAAGCAGTTTCATCTCTACATGGATTAATTTTACAAACAATTCCATACTTTGTTGGATTTAATATGGGTGCTAGGATTTAATACCAACACAAAAATGGTTCTTCCCAAATGTGGACATACTGTATCATTGAACGAGCAAGAGAACGCTAACAACACATAAGCTGTTGATCAATGATGACACAACTGGTTAACTGTCATACTCTGAAATGGCCCACCATACATAACGCGTAGAAAAGAAACGTGCAGTATGGATTACTGGTTTGCCTGGTTTATCATAATAATGCTGAATTTCTATATTTTGACTTTGTTTTAGGGTACATACGTATCTGTACGTACCTGTGCCGACAACGACCCCTTCAGCCATTATAATACAGCAATGTAACTTGTGTATGTAACTGCATCGCGGCTCTCGGCTAAGGCTTCCGCCGGTACACCAGCTGCATATGTATGTCTCATCACTGACTTCTGACAGACTTCTGAACAATCAAACCATGTCTTATTTCACATAAACATTGACAGAATGTATAAAGTGGCACTTTATAGTAATAAGAATACTCACAAGACCATCAATCTGTACATATTTTACTGGAGATGGCAACGTGCTCGCTCTGACGGTCGCCATTTTGACTGAGAAACTGCGCGAGCGCTTATCAGAATATTCGACTGTCATTTCGTTTCAGTTGCGCAAAAACACCTGCCAATCTATTACACCCGTTTCTGCCATTATAGATTTCCGTTAGAAAATTTCCTCTGAATTTGCATAACGAAATCTATATTTGTAACATGGATTTTGAAAAGATTAATAACACAAGCTTTATTACTGTAACATTTTTCGGTTTTAGCAAGATAAAATTGGCAGACTATTTCCATTTATACACTGTTTGGCCACAATCATAAGCACAACGCCACAAAGTTACAGCAAAACAGATAGATAACACCACGTTTGACTAAGATTACTTTATTCACTCAAGGCTACAATGTAGCATGAAGAGGTTTACAAGAGATATTAATAATTGCATACGGGTGTATACATGTTTAAGTACATACATTGATATCATATACATGAATACTACAATGATGGAGTATTTATCTGAATTTACAGACCACATTGCGGCAAAATACGGACAGTCTTATTTAAGTGGACACATTTTTTGTCTGGAATAAATTAATCATATTCAGTATTGAGGGCTTTGTAAGGAACCTTTTGGGAATAAACCTTTTTCTTATTTCGTTAAAATATTGACAGTTAAAAAGGTAGTGGTACTTATCTCCTATTTCATTTAAGGTGCACAATGTACATTTTCTATAATTATGACAGACAACCATAGACAGAGCCAAGTTTTGTGATAAGACTGAACCCAGTTTCGACCTGTGTTGCGTGATTTGTAAATCTGCCAAAGATTTGATGTTATTCGTTAACTAAGTGTTGTATTAATAACATACTTGCTCCAACATAATAAATTAATCTACGATGTATTCATCAAAATGTTATCGACAGTCAATTATTTCACATTCGCCTGAAGTCGTCATGTATACCGGAAGTTTATGAAACAAAATGTCTGCTTCCTGGGAGCAACATGTACTGTAAACCATGTGAACAGCACCATGTGAACAGAACGTCATTGCGTTTGCTTCACAAATTAATTGATTTGTTCGAATAGGAACTTATTAAATCGTAAGGAAAACAGTCACAAGTCACAAGTTACTCCCATACTACAATAGCATCATTATCGTGGTTTATAAAATAGCGTGAGTACAGCGATTTGATCAGATCAGTCCCTCTGTTTATATTAATTCGTTATGGTTTCATCTCAAGAGGGCGTCGCCCACTAACACAAATCAAACTTAGTGCTCATATTCCCAATTGTTATAATCTTTTTGTTGCAAGTTCCATTATCTTTCACATCTTCAACAACCAATGTAGTCCAGCATATAACTAGGCGACTTTGCAATATACCAAGGTGTAGGCCTTGGCTGGAATACGAGTTTATTCATATGAACTACAACCAATGATGCTTTTTGTCAGAAGAATCATGTTTTTTTCAGTCACAAAGGCACCATATACAATACATATCTTTGTGTTCAGCTGGTTTATGAGTCTAATCCCAGATTTATCCTAACTGTGAGTCTTTATGAGTTGATTTACCTCTGATGCAAAATGTATTTATTGAACCAGATGTTTCAAACAGGTCTAGATCAATTTCATGCCCAATGCATGGTTACATGAGTGAAATCTTTTTACTGTTATTTTCATGCAATTATGATTTCAGTTCTTAAAAGATGAAGGTTAAAAGAGGAAAGCATGCACGCCGTATTCTGACATTCTACAAGGGGAACTTTGGATTTGAGCCACCTTACAAGATTCTGGTTGATGGCACATTTTGTAAAGCAGCTCTATCTTTCAAAGTTAACATAGCAGAACAGGTTCCAAAGTATTTTAATTCTGAAGTGAAACTCCTCACATCAGCATGTGTCATGGCTGAATGTGAATTATTTGGTAAGTATTACATAAACAGTTTATTATTCTTATCTGATGCTACTTGTCAACCCAGATTTTTGTTTTACTGGATGTAGTGAGTCACATTTCCATGTTTAAAGGCTTGGTTATGTTGACATTTCATGAATTATGGCTGGGTTAATGAAGGTTGGTATTATTCATTTACCAAGTAATGTTTGTCATTTAACGCCAGGAATATTTACTTTATGATGGAAGTATATAAACAGTTTGAGTCTGGTCCAGACAATCAAGTGATTGACATCATTAACATTGATCAACCATATGATGGGATATGATGACCTGCATCCACCAAGTCAGCGAGTTTGACCACTGATATGCAGGTTGTTGGGTGTTTTTTTTATTTTTTTTTTAAAAACTCTGTGTTGTTGGGATGTTTAGAAGAGCTAAATATGATATTTGTATTTATACTTTTCAGACTTGGTAAATTCAAATGTTGTGTTTTCTTCTTCTCTGTCATTGCATATTATAAAGGTAATTCCTGTTAATTGATATAGATGTGAATAACGAAGACTGTTAAATGTTGAGTCATATAATGTGACATGTCTGTCAAAGCAATATAATGTATGGTCTGTGTTGCAGGGAGTGTCCTATATGGACCCCTCAAGGTGTTGCGTCAGTACGAAGTAGCTAAGTGTGGCCACAAGAAGCCTGTCCCAGCCTCACATTGCCTCAAGTCACTCATCAGGAAGCGGAACAAGCAGAAGTACATGCTTGCTACTCAGGTAGATGATTGTCTTCTCTTGATACACATGTTCAAAAGTGTGCAGAGGCATGATCTCTAAAATGAATTGACATCCCTATGTGTATCTATGTCAGGTAATGACTGACATGTTCCATCATTTGTAAGTGAGTGAGTTTAGTTCTACGCTGCACTCAGCAATATTCCAGCTCTATGGCGGCGGTCTGTAAATAATTGAGTCTGGACCAGACAATCCAGTGATCAACATCATGACCATCGATCTATGCAATTTGGATACGATGACGTGTCAACCAAGTCAGCGAGCCTGACCACCCGATCGCCTTAGTCGCCTCTTACGACAAGCATGAGTTACTGAAGATCAATTCTAACCCAGATCTTCATGGGTCTCATCATTTGTAAATAAGACTCCCGTTGGCCATTGTTGTGTAGATCAGGTTCCTCATGTACCTTGATTGTTTTCAGAGCTGACCATGTTGATCAGGTGCTTGGTATGGGCATCCTTGCTGACTGTGTGATAGCTCCCTGAATTCTTGTATTGTTGCACTTGTTATTTGGTTTGCATGACCCAGTATAAAAATATTTAACATGCTTCCGGTCAATTAGTTGTAGCTGGAATACTGCTGACAAAACTAGTTATTTAAGATTCTTTAGGTGAACAAGCACTATCACATTGTGTCCATTTGCTGGTGGAGAACATAGTGCAATGTTTTCTGAAATGTCCTCTTTTTCATTTTTGTGGTATTTTTCACCATAGGACCCAGACTTGACAGAGCTGTCCCGGACGAAGCCAGGCATCCCACTATTGTACATCGCTCACAATACTGTCACCATAGAAGCACCTTCTGAAGCCTCCAAGGAAAAGGCTGCCAATGCCATGGCTGACAAACTGGGACCAACAGAATATGAACACAATGTGTTAACAAAGTTGAAACTTGACGAGTTTGGGGAACAGGAGAAGAAGAAAAGGAAGAAGAAAATGAAGGGACCGAATCCCTTGTCTTGTAAATCTAAGCAACATAAACCCAGTCTTCAAACACCAATTAAAGAAAAGAAAAATAGAAGAAAGAGAAAACGTATAAGAGTTGCTGAACACATCAGAGAGCACTTCAAACAGCAAATTCTAACCTCCTGACATGGTTTTACGGTCAGCGCAGAGTGGACACCTGACTTGGTCAGCAGGAAGGCCAACATCTGATTCGGTACTTACGTCTTAGTATAAGTACAGACAATTAACCAGTGTATGAAATAGTGTCTGCCCGGTGGCCCGCTGTTTGCTAGTTACATGGCGGGCTTACAACTTTATTTTATAGCCAGTCCTGTGGGCCAATACATTTTCCAAGGGTATATATTTGACCATGTCATTGATTACAGGAAATATTTCGAAAATATTTTACAATTGTGGTAGCTAGACGACGTCTGTATAGTTCATGATGAATCAAATCATAACTTCCACAGATCAACCTACCCATTTATCTAACTCTAAATGTGATTGGTCTAGAGAATGCTTTCAGCTAATGAACAATGTTGTTCTTTTCTAATAGTATGTAACAATCACACATCTATGAATATTTATTTATTCATTAATTACATTATGATAACACCTTTTCTCAGTTTCCTATTTCTACAGGGCTGGTTACATGTTACAGGGCCAGCAACATGTTTCAGTTATCAGCCCTGTGGGCTTCCTGGTTTCTTTAGGAGTTTCATACACGGACTTAACAAATATTATGTTGAAGTTGATTTCATGAAAACTTCCCGACTGATTCAATTGACAGAAATACACAGAGATCGTTCTGTATTTCTTTCACTGTGTGATACATACTACTGCACATGGAATGTCAGGTTCAGGTCAGGTTCCATCATGGTCATTAATGACCCATTCAAGACAACAGACTGTAACACTGTCATTGAGTGTCAAGTTGAAGATGGTCTATAGTTGTTTCCTTGTTTCATCAGGATCATATTGATTCAAACAGTTTTTCTGTGTTACTTGTTACAAGATATAACAATGTTCTCAAACCTATTGACGTTCATTCCATGGCGTCATGATATATATATAATACTGAGAAAGTGTAATCCCAAATTTAACAATTTAGCATGCACCAGTATGTTATATTTGTAATAGTTCTGTAGAAAGTCAGGGGGTTTATTGGTAACGAAACTTTATGCCTTTCAAAATTTGTACAAGATGGTCTGTGTCAATTCATTTTTGATGCATACGTTTTGCACACTAACATTATATTGTGAGTTGTTCAGTTAATGTATCAACACCCCTATATTTATGTAATTGTTGGACATTATGTCACAATGATAAAGGGAGACCCTGAATAGTCCTCCATGCCTATTCCATTGGGTTCCACAGTGTACATGTAATTGAACTCAATAGGGAAGGTGACCGTGTGTGGCCTGATTAGGATTTTTCTCTCATCTAAAGAGGGAACACCATGTTTATTAGATTCAGTATGATAAGATTATAATTGTATCGTAGTCAAGTACATGGTGTAGGTACTAAACAAGAAATGAATTGAAACCAGTATTGTTCTTATTGCTTTCAACATGCCTGTGTTGATTGACATTATGGGAAAATTGTTTAATAGTAAGTTACATTTGTTTGCTATTTTAGTTTGAAATGATATTTTGTTGCAGTCACGTTGATACCCCTCATTAAAGTTTCATGTAAGTGTTATGTAACACATTTTTTCAGAATAGGGAAGGTAATGAAACTTTAACCACCTGAATATATTGGAAAGTGAACAAAGGGTGCTGACAGCATGTACATAGAAGTAAATCTTTGTATGATTATCATGATGCAATTTTGTCTGAGAAACGCCTAACACAGGATTACTCTGATTCCATTTAAAATAATCCTTTTGAATATATATCTGGCCCCTTCATCCTGAAATTGGGTTTGTGGTTTGTTGTCCGTTCATCAGTCTTTGCAAACCTTCCCATTTTCGAGGTCTCTGAAACCACAAAATTATCCCTGCTATACTGTCCCTAACAATTCATCACAGTATTCTAATGAGATTCTAAACATGGCCGACTAGGCAGACATATTGAAGATGTCATGCACATCACAACCATTTCTATGTGTGTCACTGTATTATGCAGTGGTTATACACCAGGTAGAATGTGTTATTTTTGTTCTTGTATATTTTGATTTTGTACCATGTGATTGCATAAGACCCTTATATCTGACATCTGTGACTTTGTGAAGCTGGAATCTAGAGTTCACCAACAGCCTCAGCAGCCTTATTACAAATACCAGGTTTAGCATTACTTAGTCACTTTGAATACCCATTAAAAGTTGGTATGTACCCGGTAAGTGGTATTTTACTGCAGTTTCACCATCACCGAAACCTCTGCATAAATGAAGTGAGACTTTTTATATATGATTTTAACACATGAATTTACAGACCGCCGCCATATACAGTGTAGCTGGAATATTGCCGAGTGCCACGTAAAACTAGACTCACTCACTCATTTTAACAGGTGTGGATAGTCTCGACTATATAGAATTGGGCGACAACAGGTTGTTATCCTTTGAAGGGATTTTAATGATGTTCATCTCACCACATCGTGTACAGTTACTTATATGCCTTCGTCTTATTTGGTCTACTTTATTGTGTCAGAAGTTCCAAATTATATCCAGAGTGTTGTTCAGCTGTCACACTTTAATTGCAGCACGCGCGCACACCATCTCGCGCATACCATCTCGCGGAAAGGTTTTGTCCGTCAGCCATCATTTATGCTCCCGTTTCTGCATTTGAAAGACCTGAACCGCCTGTAATTATCTCCCACTGCAGGGCTATGTCAGTGGTCACGAAATTACACGATAACAGAGGATATGAAATATTATATAAGTGGTTCTGATAGCTAGGTCACTGGTTATCATTCGAATACAAAACCCAACAAAATTATGGTTGACGGACAAGACACATCATCCTCAAGTTGGCTACATCCGGGATGTTTCTAACACCCCTACCTGTAGGCGGTGTGCTAAATATAGATCGGGACACCCCGTGTATGACCCGGTATATTGACGTGGTTGACACACCTCTTTACCTGGAATTTCCACTGTCGCGTAACACAAATAAAACCCAGTTAAAATACAAATTTAGACCAGGCCAAACATTTGACAAAACGATGGGTAGCGTCCAGCGATAACACCGGACGAACAGTGTATACACAGGACATCGGTATTCTGCTCTGTGAGCTGGGTATCAGCTTCCACTCAAAAACTTCAAACACCGCTTTATCACACCCTTCTGTGTTACCGGGGGTACCCAGACCACGAGGAGGCACCCCTTTACTGCCCCACCACCTACCCAGCCGCTGCGTCATGAACTTGTTCGGTAAGAGGGCAGTTTTATTCTGGATGATTATTCTTTGACTCGATATTATTAGGTGTTTTGATTGGTACAAGACGATTACTATATAGTATATCATTCTGTTTGTGTGTACGTACATTGCTTGGTTTACCTGTTATCTTAAAACATTCTAGATTGATACACAAGTATGTGCACTTAAAAACTTCATGTCTGCATGTTGAAACACAGTTATCAGGAGGTATATGAAGCGGTGAAATCCACTACAGAAAAAGGTTCACCCTAAACTAACAGTAAACGAAAACCACGAGCTACCATTTTAGGTTCAGACATTGGCTACTTGATTTGGTATCAGATTTAAAGGGGACACGGGTAAAAAAAGTCGGCATTCCAGTCATATTCGATGTGAGTTGTTCACACTTCCCCCGTGTCTGTCCACAAGCCTGATAGCTAATGGTTACCCTACACCCAGTTCACACAAGACAGCAGGCTCTCTACATTAAGTCTTTAACTTCGACTCCACATGGGGTACAATCATGTCCAAGAAGCTGATCTTTTTGTGAAGCACGTGGTATATTCGGGAAGAGGGACTGACCGCCAGTCTACCTGTTCTCCATCACCAGGTGAACCGCCTGTGTCGTGACACCTAAGGCTAACGACATGAGTCTTTAACACTCATACGACGTGAGGTTTCAAGGTGAGCAATCACAGATATGCTGTAAGGGTGATTAGTAGCCAGGTGAACCAATCCCCGACCGCGTCATACCACCGCACGTTAAAATATAGTACTGCCCTCTTAATGGGTACAAGGACTGCAGTCACAAAATGACACCTCATTCAGGCTATCGACATGAGTCTTTAACACTCATACGACGTGAAATAAGGCAGAATTTAACAATGGTTTTCGATGTAAACATTCCTTTCGCTGATAAACCTTCCAGACGCCGTAATGTCGGTAGGAACAAGGAGTTGTCACTTCGAGTGTTTTCCAATGTCCATCCCTGACTACGTGGCGCCCATTGTGCAAGCCTGTTATTCAAGGGCCGACTCGACTGATGTGTTATGTCATATTACACATATATTCATCACGATAATAAGCTACACATAATGTTTGAGATCATACAGCGGTTTTATAAGCACGGTATCACCTAGCCGAGATTTGTTTGTGCTGCGTATCGATTAACATAGCAAATAAGCTTGCCGGTCTTCTATTCATGTTCGGATTACCACCAGAAATATCTACTGGTTATATGCACCCTAACTGGGCGCTGACGGGCGTCATATCAAGTCATTCATCGGATCACGTTTTCATGAGAGTAAATATTGTTTCTGTGTCACATGCCTGGATGATAATATTTATCCTCTCGTTTCATTGGTCTGGAGTTTTACTCCGCTTATTACAACAAAGCGTCCTTTATGGGGGACATGGAAAGGATTAATGTAACTATAACGTCACTTGGAACACAATGTCCCGATATGATCTAACCATTACGTATTTCAAATGGGATAATTAACGAAGGATCGATACACATTCAATGTGCATAGTGATTCTGTTGTATATTATCTTGAGTGTTCGCTACACTTTGGGTTGTGAAGTTTTATCTTATGTTATAAAGTTATACATGGGCAACGTGAATGCCATATATAACCTGTTGCTGACCTGCCGAGGGTTAATCGTCATTTAGGCGTGTTGGGGTTAACGCTAACATCTGGTCATTCATGTTGCCCGATCCCAAACACGAGGACTTGGATCCGGGAATGGACACCAGTAAACGTGAGTGCAAAGCTTACCAATCACGACTGCAAGTGTTTGTTTATAATAGTAAAATACCAATCTCTCTAACAGAAAGTCTTTCGTGGTAACACTTTCCACACAAATTCACCAGTATTACGCTGGCAGGTCAACTCTACAAGCTGTAACAAATCGAAGTAGCGCCATTGCTTAATAAAATCAAAGTGTGTTTTCATTAACTGTTTTAAAAATGATAATATTGTATATTCTCTGTTCTGATTACCTTTCTGTACTGTGGATGGTGCCGCCATTATGTATCATCAGGTGGATCTATAGACAACGTGAGGGTAAATATCAATGGTAGATTCACACATCGATGTGTAATACATCGTCGAAGTATATACATGCATGCATGCTTCGGCGCCCTTGAACAATTATCACAGCAGCACGCATCTCTGGACTTCGTAAAAAAATGATATATTTTATGCGTGGCCTATCAGTTATATTACTTACACAGTTTGCCTAATTGTTGAAGACCACGTAGCATGAAACTGTGTTTACGTGACATGGTTATCACATGTCTGCTTGTTTCAACCGGAGAGCCACAGCTGGTGTGTATTTAACTAACTGAATATAAACATACTATATGTGGTCTCATGACTCCGCGAAGTAAGTTATTGTTTGTGTTCATGTGAGATGCGGTACTATCAACCTAGGGTAAACATGCTCGTATGTCTGAGCCCTCCGACTGTCATTTCTCCCTCTTTAACTTTGATATAGGAAATAGCAATCACTAACTCCTCTATCTGCGAAAATAACCTTTAAGGAAGGCTTAAAAGAAGACACAGGTAGTGCCATTCAGACTTCCATAAACCTCCGCCCGGAGAGCGGAAGGTCGCGGGTTCGATCCCCGACCGCGTCATACCAAAACGACGTTAAAATATGGTACTTGTTGGTCCCTGCCTGGCGCTCGGCATTAATGGGTACAACAAGGACTGGTCGGCTCGGAGTCAGTATAATGTGTCTGAGTGAGGTATTCATGCTTCACTGCGGCTTGGTATCTCAGTGGGCTAGCACTATAAAACCAGCTTCAGTCTGGGCTAGTACAAGCAGCCGCACCTACACATACACACGCATGCACGTCGTCATATGAGCGAAATATTCTCCAGCGCGACGTTAAACCCAATTTCACCTCACCTCACCTCACCTCACCTCACCTCACTTCCATAAACCACTCTTAATCAGGGGCAGATAACCACCCATGTCTCTCATTTCGGATCAGTAATCCTGCAAAAGACAGACCTACTGAGGGACGTTTTTATGAGGGGTAGGGTAATTGTCCGGAACCTGAATTCCATAGTTATGAGCGAGACCTTGGTCTAAGTCATGAATAATTTTGTCCACGAGTAATCAATGTTTTGCTGCAAGTTGATAAGTGATTCACGAATAGTTATTTTTCAGACAGTCAGCTATTATGCAGGACATATGGATAGATAAGTAACTACCCCGGGAATACCTCCCACCACTTTTACTCGTGACAGTGAGGGCAGACATTAGGAAATACATGTACTTGGTTTACGAAACTGCCCTCCCAAAAAGGAAATGTGAATATTTAAGTACAAAGTTTTTTTAAAATAGAAAGCAAACTCCTTTTTCTGTAGCGTTTCAATATGGTTTAAAGTACTGTAAGTAAAACCTATTGAAAATATACTTTGTATATTGTACATAGGGATTTTTATCCCCCGCCGCGCGTTTAGCGCGAAGCGGGGATATAGTATTAGGCTCCGTCCGTCCGTCTGTACGTACGTACGTACGAATTGGAATATCTTAAGAGCCGTTGACTGGATTCTTTTCATATTTGGTACCTAGGTTCATCACAGTAAAAGAAAGGTCCCAGTCAGGTTTGGTGACCTTGACCTTCATTTCAAGGTCACAAGGTGACTTTAACGTTTTACTCTTGTCATCGAGATATCTCAAGAACCGCTCACTAGGGCTTTATCTAGGGAAGGCGCAGAGCCCAGTCAATTATGGTGACCTTCACCTAATTTTCAAGGTCATGGCGACACTTTGAAGACTTCAGCATGTTAACCTGCATGTAAAGATTGTCAGCGAGATATCTCAAGAACCATTCACTGGACTTTCTTCATATTTGACACCAAGCTTCATCTGGGGAAGGTGCAAGGCCCAGTCGATTTTGGTGACCTTCACATAAGTTTCAAGGTCACGGCGACACTTTGAAGATTTCAGCATGTTAAGGTTGTCAGCAAGATATCTGAAGAACAGTTCACTGGATTTTTTTCATAGACTTTCAAGACTTCCCTTGAATGTTTTTCAATAAGCAATTTCTTTATTACTATTTTTGCATATTTCATACACTAAGACATTCATGTCAAGGTCAAAGTGAGTCTTGAAAATATTTGTGCGTTTGAACAACTACAGAGCAAGATATCAAGAGAGGTTGACTAGTCATGTTTTTGTTGACATTTAACTTCATCTTAAATTACGACCTTCACTTTCATTACTTTTTAAGTTTGATTTGATAATTTGCGGCGGGGGATTATGTCACCTTAGTGACAATGCTTGTTTATTTTCTTTTTACCTATTGACCTGAATTTGGACCCCAAAGTCCGTATGCCAAAACACAAGTACAGGCTGGCCTATAGTCAATAAAATCTCTTGCTGCTTAGCTGCTTTCAAATCTCGGTGAGGCAAAACGTGTATCTGTGTGTCGTTGTTGTCGAACCGCGATGTTGTAAATTTTGTTGTATCAGAATATCATCATTATAATTTCAGCTCTTGCTAATGGCAGGGGAACTGACCACGTCCACATTACACGGTTGCTAGGCGACACACGTGTCTCGGAATGGCAGAGGGCGCTGCGGAAACTCCTGGGGACGTACATCCAACATGACGTCATGAAACAAGCAGTAGCGTTCCTCTCCGACAACGTACGTGTGTGTGCTAATTTTGTTGTCTGTATATGTCCTACATCCACCAGCTATAGATCGTCAGATAGTGAAAATATGATGGCGACATTGCCATAGTGTGGCAGATGCATTCCTGGTAACTATTTGACAGACCCTTAGATCAGTATGTTGGAATGACCTCTGTAACGGTACACATGAAGGCAGCTTGCCATGCTCAAAAGTAAAACTGAGATTGACAGTATTTGACATAAACGGGTAACTTACCATTCAAACATGGAATTAACGCCCGAAAATAATCAGTCTCGATTATCTGACGAAATAGATTTCAATGTGCGTAAAAGGTAACATAGTGGTGGAAATTATATGAAAATCAGCAATGACACCAAGACCACCTTGGTGGAACAGAATCCAGTCACACGATAGCACACTGCTCCTGCTGAAACTAAAAACTACATACTTGAATTTAGATGACGGCTTGTGATCCCTGTGACAGTGTATTTTACGACAATCTCACATTAAAACCTGAACATTACAATCATTGCCTGTTGTATATACTGTTTACAACCGATTGTTTTACAATAAGAATTTGTTATCTGTCCCTCTTCGTGATGTATACATGCAGATTTGGAACTGAAAACCTCCCCATCAGTCCTTTCATTATTCTACGTGTCTTCAAATGCAGATCCACTCAGCTATAGAATCCATTCGCTCGCCGCACTTGTTCCCTGGCTTCCCCTGCCTCTACGTCCACACCGACAGGAAGCCGGTCGTCTTTGACATTGACCTATGGAAGACGATCCTCATCGCCATCAACTTCGAGCTCACAGAACCGGACGGCAACCGCCATCTTGATTTAATCGAGGTCAAGGTCACTGATAAAGTTACTTTACCATCTCTCATAGGGTTTCACCAGCTGCTGAAGAATATCTTACGTAAGTTTTGCTCTCTCTCTCAGGCTCAGGAAAAATAACTGTCTCAGCAAGTGTGATTCGAGTCTTCAAAAAGCTTGGTTAAAGAGTTCTGCTGTGTATATCAATGAAACATTTAAAGGTTACCATAATTAACCCTCAATATACGACTACCTACAACGCCAGGGGCAGACTGGGCACAGTACTGTGGCTCATAGTGTTTACCTGATGACTTACAGAACTGAACTGGGACATCATCCGGCTGATACTTTACCTGGAAGAGGAGGAAGCCTTCACGTTTCTGTGTACAGTAAGTACGCTCACTAGTTAACGCTCACTAGCTGTGTATACATATGTATACATATACATGCATGTGATAGACGTGTGTACCTATTGACTAGACAGGTGTGTACCAATCTCTGTTCACAGAACGAGTAGTCGACTGTCTCAGATTACTCTGATTGTATGGGATAGACAGGTGTGTACCAATCTCTGTTCACAGAATGAGTAGTGGACTGTCTCAGTTGACGGTTTCTCCCTTCGATTCTTCACAATGGTTGAAACCTGTTTGGTGATACCGCCATGGCATCTGTTGAATACTGCCCTTGGCGGCCAAAACCATTATGCTTCCAGCATACAAACCAGAAATTGACAATGAACATCAATCTATTTACGTCATACAGACGAAATATTTTGTCATCTTTATTCATTTATATTCTTTTCTTCTTTGACCTTAGCTGCAGGATGTGTTGCGATCCCCGAGCCGGACCAGCAACCCCGCCCTTGTAACTGCCCTGTACCAGAAACAGACTTCCGCTATGGAGGAACTCGGCTTCTGCCGGAGAAGGGGGGAGGGGCGTGGCTCGAAGTGGGTGGTGGAGTGGGAAAACACGGAATCAGAGCAAGTCCTGTATGCCGAGGTTGTGTTGTTTGGCCTCTTTCATCACGGAAAGGCTTGGAGACGTATATATGAGGCTTGGTGCGAGGCCGTTAAAGTCAAGTTTTATCCAGAGGTCCCAGCAATGTCAGGATGGAGGTAGTGTTGATCTCTAGTCAGTGATATGGTTCGCCGTATTGTCACCACTGAAGCAGACTGTCCCACGGATTGTGAATGTTTCGCCCTTGCAAAGGGTAACGTAATGACCAGTATTATGTGTCCAGACTATTTTTTGTTTTATAGTATATTTTGCGACCACGAAGGGTGGGGTGGGATTTGCATGGCAACTCAAGTCAAAACATTCATTACACAGCAGTCTCGTTTCCTGTTGACTGGGTTCCGTCCTATTGCGCAACTTAGTACAATAACCAGTCCAGATTTTTTAGAACAATTCATTTAACTGATTACATAAATATGAATCAGTATTATTTGATACATTTACGCACTTGTATATTGCAACACTACGTTCCTTCTAATCCTTGCAAACACGTCGTGCAGCGTGCTCTGTCGTACAGCGAGCTCTGACAAACGGAAACATGGAAATCGTGGAAATCTCAAAACGAGGCTCTGCCGCTAGAAAAGTTTGGCGATCTGGTACGGAATTGATATTATATCAATCACATTGTGCGTTACAGAACTACTCTGAATAAGCGCAATAAACACATAACAACCATAACAGATGCATTGTGAATCATTTTACGACCTCATCAAACTGGGGCAGTCTGTGACGTCTTAGTTAAGGTCATGCTGCCTACACCTAGCCATAAAATGTAGAAATACGATGTTATTAAAGTTTAAAATTAAAATTCATTTGTAAATACCATTTTCTTATGAAACAGGAAATTGGAATTCAGTGTAACCATAAGTGTTTGTGGTGTCTTTTTTCTCTTTCACACGAGAAAATTCGGATCGACTGAAAAGTAGGTCATTGTCTGAATAGGTTAATGAGACTCATGTTTCGGTTTGAATGTTTACTTCATTTTATTCATAAAAGTCAGCATTCTGAGCTGTGTGTGCAATAACTTTAGATCATTATTACATACAGACTTAACACAGGGTATGAACAGTGCTTGTTGAGGGATGTCATCTTGCCCACCCGTTAATTCAGTGTGATCATACACACACCGGAGACAATGCGCCTTCCTGCCCGTGCATGTGCTACCTGCGTGCTAGAAGGTATTTACAATGTTGCGCTGAACGACGTTGTCTGGCAGATGGGCATAATGTATAAAGTTTGAACAGGAAATTGTTGGACAAAATCTTTCACATTTGCTCGCTGAGCAAAATCAGATTTCTACCTTCTCTTTGAGACTATTTCGTATTTGTGTTTATTTCTTAACAATGAAAAGTCATAATGCCTTGCTTAGATACCTTGTGCATATCATCATATAGCCTTGGGTATATCATTATATAGCCTTGGGTATATCATCATATAACCTTGGGTATATCATTATACAGTACAACCAGAAATTATTGAGAATTTAAAGGTTGTAATATTTTTTAAAAATTCACTCATTACTCACGTATTAAATGTGAATATTAGCAGAACATAACTCCAGATTCAAAGACAGGTGAACAGTTAGTATTTTGTCAAGTCACCATGGGCAGCAATGCAGGCTTCAATGCGGCGGGGCATACTACTGATCAAAGAAGTTAGAAAGTCGTGGTCCATGCTGTCCCAATATCGGACCACCTCTTCTTTCATTTCAGCAATATTTGTCAGATTTTTCTTATTGACACTTTCCTTCGTAAGTCCCCAAACATTTCTATTGGATTTAGGTCAAGCTATAGCTTGGCCAATCTAATAATGTCATATTTTGGGTCCGAAACCAGGCCTGTGAATGCTTTGAACGATGTTTTGGGTCGTTGTCCTGCTGGAAAATCCAAACATTTCCATAGAACACGTGAGCAGATGGAAGTAAATGTCCCTCGAGAATATCTGTGTACCGCTCACTGTTCATATTCCCTTCAATACACAGAGGGGCGTTGCCCCTAACACAGATATGCCACCCCCACACGTTAAATTTCGGACTGTACTTTGGGCGCTGATACAAAGGTTTTTCAGTTTGTTTGGTCCAGAATTTCAGTGTATTAGGAAACAGCCTCACAGAACTTTCATCTGAGAAAATCACATTGTCCCAGTTAAAATTTCTATGCTGTAAGCACCAGTTCAACCTTCGCTCCTTTTGTTCAGGTTTCATGATCGGTGATAGAATTCCTCGACTTTTCTGCCAACCCATTGCATGCAGCTCAGTTCTAATTGTCTCCTTACAGACAGCCACAGTTCCTCTATCAATCATATCCAGCCTTAAGTTTTCTAAACTCCTTCGTTTGTGTTTAGAAACAAGAATACCAAGCCGCCTCCTACCTGCGCCTCCCTGGTGCTCAATGCCATATCCATTTGCAATATTTTTCAAAACACGATAAACAGTGGACAAAGGGATGCCTGTTCTACTTGAAATCACTTCAGCTGATCTGATGTCCTTGTTATAATACTCTAAAATCAACTTCCTCTGCTCTAAATCATCCATACTGAGGATCACTGAAAATGTCGTCTGCTAGCAAGTAAACAAAGGGGGATAACTCTTCACAAACTAATGAAAAAGGATTAACGGATTTGTCTCTCTTGAATGAAACCAAGCACTTGATAGCTGGTCAAGGTTGTTTATACTAGAAATCCAATTAAACATATTCCTAAAATTCTCAATAATTTCTGGTCATACTATATAACCTTGGTTATATGATTATATAACCTTGGTTATTATATAACCTTGGGTATATCATTATATAACCTTCGGTATATCATCATATAACCTTCGGTATATCATCATGCTGCATCGCATGTGTGTAATTCAGATGGACACAGTTTTTGTCAGTGTCTAGTCGTGTGTTTCACTGTGACTGAAATGTTTTCAGGTAATTTTAAAATTGTTACATTTCGCGAGTAAACAGTTCGTTAACTTCTTATGTTTTATATTTTTTCTGATAACTGCAACTGACAAACATTAACAGCCAGCAGCTTACCTTCTTCTGTCTATCACCAAAGTAACAGATGTGATAGGTTTAACTCTCAACGGACTGTACAAACACATCCTACAAAGTGGAGTGGCACGTGTTTACAGCTGTTTCAGCACTTTCACGTCATTTGCCGCAGTGTTGCAAAGTGACGGGGGGCCCTGAACTGCGTCACCTGATATTATGACGTACCATTGTGACGTCAACATGTTGTGACGTCATTGTATTGTATGGTTGTCAAGACCACCATGATTGTAAGGTTGTCACCCGAAGTCACGTTTTGCACAATGCATCAGACAGATGGATGGCGGTAGAGGTGAGTAGGACTTATCAGCAACAATATAAACTACTAGTACTTTTAATTTAACGAAACCATTCACCCTTTTTGTAATGGAGGTGCACGATCTCTCTCCTTTGAAAGGTAGACGCCATTTTTGGAGGCTTGTCCTCCAACACAACTACATGTACTTGAATTGTGAGTAAATTTGGTAAGTTTATTCATGTCTCAAGGTTAATGGGTGAAAAAAACCTACTTGATTGTTGGGATATTCCCGAATGATGTCACTGAAGTTGTTACGGTACCCCGTTGTTCTTTTATGGATTTGTTTCATACAGTTTGTATATACCTATCTGTCAGCGTTTGTAGGTTTATAATAGGTGGATGAAGTTCAAGAATATTTAGAAATAAGAGTTCGCTCTACGGTTGATAAATATAAATAAGCGTCGAAAACTGGACAAGATTGATATTACTCGAAAATAGAACCATAATGGCTTTTGGCAAGAAAGAGAGCATGGTGCAAATGTTCGCGTGCTTAGTTAAAAGATCCAGTCTGTTTGTCAAGTGTCGTGATCTATCAACCTACTTCTAAACATTATCCTATATCCTAACCATGATGTCAGATATTGCATCAGTACACCACAATCTTCAGATACTCGTAAAGGGCGACGACTGGAAGACGAACGGCAACAGGCGGGAGTTAGTGATATTCGGCCGGTGAAGGTTCTTTATTCCAAGGAGGATGTGCGTGGCACGACCGAGATCAGTCCCAGGCAGCCTCCGTCTACGTCCATGGGACCCAGGCCGGCGATGATGCAACAAGAACCATCCATGCCGTACAGCAGATCGCTTCCTCGGCATGACCCCCAGTCAGACTTTTGGACTCAAAACCTTAAACCAGCACCCGATATAAGAGCGGAACAGCTGCAGGCGGAGTTTTTATCCCCAAGCCGTTCAGATCTACTTCAAGGTCAGACTGTGACACCCTATCAGAGACGTGGGTACCCGATAGACGTGGCAGCAAGTCAACCAGGCTACGAATATCAGGATTATAACAGGCAGGCCCCACAAATATATGGTCAAATGCGTCAGCCAGTGAGATCTAACTATCAAACATATCAAGGACCAAATCTTCAGTTCGCACCAGCATATCAACAATATGATCACCCTTATTATGCAGTTCATCGTTATGAGAACGAATTCATGAACCCTCCTCTGTGGAATGGTCCTCCCGCTGCTAACCCTCCCGTCTTCCCGCGGGATACCCCGCCGCCATTGTATAATACCAGCCACGACTACTTCCACTCAGGAAGGTCCACTCTTCCCCGCAGAATGCAGCAAAGTGGGGCATTCGCTGGTTATACCACACCCCCAACTTACAATATGCACACCGCGCAAAGTAACATGCCTCTTTATCAAGACCAGGGTTATAGTCCTCAAAACTACATGGTAAATCAGTCTGGTCGAACCTCCCAAGAAAGCCTCTCTGGCCCCACGACAAAGAGTACAGATTCTTCGAGCGGGTCAGCCAACACGCTTCATCTATACGACATCTCAGAACTCCCGCCTAAGATGAGGGGTGAGGCAGGGAATGTATCTTCAGTATTCCCGAAAACAGCTTCAGGACAGGTAGCCAGCGGGGCTGATAATGGACATCACCAACCAGTAGTTGTCGCTTCCACCAGGAAGGATCTCAGTAAGGCGCTGGATGAATTTCGACAACAGTCAGTGCAAAACCAAGACCTCCATGGCCCTGAAAAACAACACCAGTCTGTTGAAGCAGTAGTGAAGACCGGGCAGGAAGTGCCATCCGAGGGTTCTGACGACTTGGATCGTGCTGCCTTACTTTTGCAGGAGGCGATCATGGACGCTGGCATCGATGAGATAGATGGAGTGTTCATCAAAAGAAACAGTCATCTGGTTCCTCAAGACAATGATCAGGACGGTGAAGCCACACAAGCTATGGATAATCACGTCAGTGAAGAGGATGTGCGTGTTGACAAGGGGGATGCAATCCAGCTGGAGGCACATGAAGTTAATTTGTCAACTCGAGGTTCAGTTGATCCATTGTCCAACTGCTATCAACACGAATCTAATGATGGCATCGGTTCTGGTGCTAATGGGACGGATGTCAAGAGTATTTCAGTATCTGCCGTATTGACAAAGAACACCTTGAGCGAACCTTCAGAAAGCAGTTGCGATGGCGCACAAAGCTTTATGTCCTGCACAGAACAAGATAACATCATAAAGAGCCTGATCCATTGCTGTACAGACTTCGACCAGAGTACCGAAACTAAACAGAGTGATGCAGACAACGTGTGTCGTCAACCTCCTTCAGTGGAACATACCTTGGATCAAGAAATTGCCGAGTTCATGGGGAACTCTACGTGTCAGATGTACACTGAAGGACAGGCTGGTACCTCTGCAGGAGGGACCGTTGTGGTTACAGGATGGTCTGAGGGCAAGACGACCAGGTTGACGACGTTTATTGACGGTGAAAGCCAGGACCCAAGGCAGACATTTGGTTCGATGGGAAGTGAGGTTCTGCATCCCTCCTCCACGTTTGAGGATGGTGGGGGAGCATTGTGGTATCCGTACTGTGAGACAGATGCAGGATGTCTGGATTATCTGAACAACAACATGTTGCCTTTTGGGCCTCACACCGCACAGTTTGTTCCTGGTCCAGACGCGACGTTCTCAGCCATGGATTGGAGAAGATCTTTCTGTGGCAGGAACCCAACACAAGGCATTGCTCCTTCAGTGAGACCGGGTGTGAATGATTACAGTGTGTACTCCATGTCTCAGTCAAGGCAAGCTGTGGATATGCCATTCTTTGAAAACTGGGACTTGTGGAGTCCTGATGCAAGAACTGTGGGTAGACAGGTGGGCGGTTCTGGGCACGTAACAGTTACACAGGCCGCCAACCAATATACAAACATGGCGGACATTATGCCTTGTCCCACCACGGAGGTGAGACAAGCCCAAGGTTTTCCTGGCATAAGTTTTGCTGATTTTATGTCCGAGTCGACACAGGATGTTACTGCTACAGTGATCAGTTCCGACCCAACTCAGTCAGAAACGAACTTAGCCTATATGTGGCAGCTAGCAGCTGAAGGTTTCGAGACGCCATCCAATAGCTGCAAGGAAGTGAAAGGGGAGACAATCCATGATTCTAGCGATTGTGGTGGCAGTGAAGCACTTGTCAATGGTGATGCATTCAGTGGACAAACTGTCAGTACTGGTCGTGATAGTCATGAGACACGTGATGAACTCACAACGGACCAATCAGGGCCGAGTAGTGGCACACCTTCTGAAGATGTCAGCGTCCGAGTGGATGATTCGTCAACACCATCGTCCAACTTGAACTGTGAAGCCAGCAGTACATGTAGTCCTGACGAAGCTGGTCGATGTGTGGAGTCCAACGTGAGTCGGGTACCACTGTGTCCTGATAGCAAGCCAGTCCCAGGCTCCATGTCACCACCGGTCTACACAAGACAAACAGAGGGGGGAAGCTCTGGACCAACTGAACACCTACCTGGCGTCTCTCTTGGAGGGAGGAGGTTCCAGGACTGAGCCACAATAACGTGGGAATAAGATGTGTATAATGAGCTCGCTACAGGCAGATATGCACAGATTTCTAAGTACTTCTCCCTTTGGGCAGAATATTACATCACATTAATCTGTTTGAATACCGTTTTAATGCGAATCCGCCTTTAAATTAAACAATCGATATTGTATTATGCATTCAAGTTCACTTGGCTAAATCACACGTGCACTCATCGTTCTTAAAATCTCAGGGAACCCTCTGTGTCTCATTCTCTTCCCACAGAGGTTACTCCTGTCATATCTTCCTACATAACCTCTGTTCTAATACGACCCTTTCTTGGTGTCAGCGTTCAAGGCTCGTGATTGGAGACATGCCGATTTAGTTGTGCAATCAGCGACGTTGTTTCAAAAGTGATCATTCGCAAGGCCTCGGTAATTTCCGTATGCTTCGGGAAAACTAGAACCTCTTCCCGAGCGCGATGCGCAAACGTTTCTTCTAGACAGAACTCAGTCATGTAATGGCGTATCAATGGCGTCTCCATCGCCCTCGTTGACAACGGACAAGCTAGCCATTAAACGTCTTGTGTGTAACATCAACACAATTCCCCGGCAGATGGGGGATATTTGTGGCCCCGCATTTGCTTGTGTTAGTCAAATTGAATCTAAGTCGATGTAACACGTGTTCTGATTGGATAGAAAGAAGGGAGATAATTCGTGTTGCGATCTTTTGCCGCTAGGGGATTTTACGAGGACCGGGAAATATGGCCGTATTAGAACAGAGGTTATGTAGGAAGATATGACAGGAGTAACCTCTGTGGGAAGAGAATGTCTGTGTCTGTATTCATTTCGTTTCTAAAGCGGTCTGAGATCTATCGTGAGTAACGTAATGGCTGTGTGTTGAAGAACCTTGACACATTTTCAGCCATTAATTCCAGAACATATGTCCACGCTATCAGTTTGACATGTCCTCTGTACTAGGATAATGTGTGATAGTGTAACACCCACCTTTCTTAATCTTCTCTCTGGAAATGAAGCTGTCATGTTAAGCTGACTGATTGAACCCAACGCTATGGATCATTCCTCACGCTGTCACTGGTTTGTCTGGTCCAAACTTGAATGCACTGCTAGTATTGTTGATTAAACTATACAGCATTCACAACCTCGACCTGATTAGTCCTATTACTAGACGTTTCGAGAACTATACCCGAGAAGATCCGGGTTAAAATTGGTCTTCAGTAACCCATGCTTCCATGTCATCGTGTCCCAAATGCGTAGATCGATGCTCATGCTGTTCATCACAGGGTTGTTTGGTCCAGACTCAATTATTTACAAACGGCCGTCATATAGCTGCAACATTGCAGAGTGCGGCGTAAAACAACAAATAAACAAAATCTTAAAACTAAAGTGAGTGAGTTCGGTTCCACGCCGGTTTGACCAATACTGTGGTTACACCACGGCTTTCTAACGTATGCACGGTGTTGGTGGCATGGGCGGATCCAGGAATTTTGAAAGGAGGGTGTTACGACGTAAATTGTAATAAAAACGCAAATTGTAATACTTGCAGCAAATTGTAATAAACTTGACGTAAATGGTAATAAAAACGTAAATTGTAATAAAAATTGACGTAAATTGTAATACGCAAATTGTAATAAAAATATTGACGTAAATTGTAATAATTTTCGTTGCGATAAAATGTAATAAATATTTACGTAAATTGTAATAACAGTTTTAATCACCCGTAAATACGCGGGTGTTTGTTTTTCGTTACATTTCATACATCAAATAAGCTTGTTAGGGCGATAACTCAAGAAAGAAATGATGGATATGGTTCAAATTTGGTACCAAGGTATATTGGCGAGATTCAGACACAAGTGAAATGGAGTGGCCTTGAGATAATTTTCAAGGTCACAGCAAAAATCTGAGGGTTTTGCCAATATAAAGATTGTTAGCGCGATAACCCAAGAAAGAATTGACAAATCTTAGCTAAATGACGAAAATGATATTCGTCCTGATATATAATCGATATAAGATCTCTTACTGTCCTCTGTATCATGTCTTTTCGCAAATATCTTTTGAGGTTTTGATATGTATAAATATAAAGTGGGGTGGGGTGGGGTGGGTTTTCTAACGGGTATATCAAATCAAATCAAATCAAATTAGACATTTGTATAGCGCTACATATCCAGAGTCCTGCTCATGTGCGCTTAGTCGAATGCTCGTTTGAAGAGGATGGTTTTGCGACAAGATCGGAAACTGTTGATATTTTCCGATTTTCTGACATTTTCAGGTAATCAATTCCAGAGTACAGCACCCGGTCTGCTAAATGATCTGTCTCCGTATGTTGTGGTTCGGACAAATGGAATAGCCTAGCTGACTAGCAATGAAATGCATCACAAATTAAACTTCAGGAAACAAAATATGCAAGAAACATTTTTGTATGTTTGAGATTGGTAGAGGTCGGCTAGAATCAAACTTAGATATTAAACTGCACAAAAGGCAATTTGAAACTACAATCGCTTGTTCAAATGACTCCCCCTTCGGTTTACTGAAAGAACTCGAGTAAGAAATGATGGATTTTGTTCAAATTTGGTACCAAGGTTTACTGACGAGATTTACCGACACCACTTGAATTTAGTGACCTTGAGGTCATTCTAAAGGTCACAGGGAAGGTGTAACAGTTTTGCACATGCCGCGAAATTAGGAAAGTATTAATAGATTTTGATCCAATTTTACATCAAGGTGTATTGGCGGGAATCCCCCTATACCATTTGATACAAAATATGCAAAAAACATGTTGTATGTTGGTAAAAGTCAAACTTAGATATTAAACTGCACAAAAAAGCAAATTTTAAATTATAATCGCTTGTTCAAGTGACTCCCCCTTCATGTTTACTGAAAGGGCTTGTTTTGGAGACACTACCCACCCCCTTTCAGTTGACGTCATCATAAGGATATAACTCATCCTAAAGTTTTCACTTATTCATACATGGTGTCAAGGGTTGAAACTAAATACTGAATGGTCACACAAGTGTCAGCTCTCAATATGTTGTATATCTGGACACAATGTTTTTGAAAATTTAAAATGAGGGTGTCCTAAAAAAAACAGTCCCCGTCTAAAAGTAAATCAGGCAATCCAAATCTTTGAATGTTGATGATGACGGGAAGTCATCCAATACTATGCTGAACATATTTTATATGATACTATCTGAGGGTATGCCATTATCCAAGAGATAGCGCAATAGTGCAGTTGTAAGGCGTCTGCCTATCACGCTGAAGGCCCCACTTTCGAGGAGGCACCGAGGTTCGGTTCCCGAGATGGGCACATTTGCGTAGTATCCTTGGACAAGATACTTAGATCTACACTGTCTCAGTTCACCCAGCTGTAAAATGGGTACCCGTGAGTATGTGCTGGCAATGTGAGTGTTTAGTTCATTGCGCCTAACAGGCAGCATGGCTGTACAGTCCCCAGGGAGTTGAAAAAGTATCGGAAACTACGATAGTGTCCTATGATCGGGGATAGTAATGTACGTAGCGCCGTGAGCAGGCAATGTGCCTGGATGTGAGCGCCATCTTAGCGGACTATTACTATTACTAGATACCAAATGGGAGATCGTTTTCCATTTTCTGCAAATTTGCAAGAAACATAATACCCCAATGTTGTGATGACTAATATCTCGTTAACCACATTACCCACATGAAATTTTGGATATGACTTTGCTAATGATTCCTTCATAATAAAATGGAATCTTTTTTTCAAACATTGGACATCGAGAATATAGTTAGTTTGACTACTTTTTCAACGCCCCTCGTAACATACTTAAAAGAAATGAGAACGTCTAAGGAAAAAAGCATTTCGATCTCTGAATACTTCTGATCTATTTCAATACAAAAAGCAAAGGAATAAAGTAAATAATCTGAAAAGAATAGCCAAGGGAAACTTTTAATCTATTTTTGATAACTATTTATCACCTCAGTCTACTCAATCAGGTGGTTACTACTTCATCGGGACCCATTCCCCTTCTTGTCACTGATGATTCTGGGATACTTTCAGTTTTTACAGATTTGAATAAAGCTCAAACATTAAATGAATATTTTGTATCTGTTTCAAATGTTACTGATGTCGGCAAGACTTTGCCACCTGTTAGCCATCGCTGTGTTAACAGTATAACAAATGTCATTGTAACCGAAAAGGAGGTATCTGATAAGACCTTACCAGCAAACAAATCTAGTGGACCTGATGGCATTAACATGAGAGTGTTAAAACGAATTTGTACATCTATAGCTGAACCTCTTTGTTTGCTGTATAATATATCACTGAGTGACTGTATTTCCTACATTGTGGAAAACGGGTAATGTTACTCCTATTTTGAAAGAAGGAAATGCATCCCTCCCAACTAATTACAGACCTATTAGTTTAATACCTATCCTTTGGAAAATCCTTGAAAGAATAATGGTAAAGCATGTGCACGACCATTTCAATGAACATAACATTTTAAGTAAATTCCAGTCAGGTTTTACTGCTAGTCATTCTACTACATCTCAACATAGACATTTATCATAATATATGCTCAGTCCTAGATAATCACCACCTTTCCTGTATGCTGTTTTGTGATATTTCAAAAGCTTTTTACAGGGCATGGCATAAAGGTTTATTGCACAAATTAGAAAATGATGGTGTTCGTGGAAACGTACTTAGTTTGTTAACTAACTATCTATCTGGGCCCGGTTGTTCAATACTCGGTTATCTTAACCGCCGGTTAACTCCTAACGGCCGGTTAAATCCTTAACCGACCGTTAGGTAACCGAACGTTAAATATGCGTTGTTCAAAACATGGTTTGTCATGCCGTTAGCTAACGTCGCCGTCAAAGTTTAACAGTGTGGTTAACGTCACTGGTTAGCTTCCATGTATCCCATAGTTCCGTTTTCTGTTTACTTCCGGTTTACCAAAAATGGAAACGCAAAATGTCGCCTGCACCCCAAGGAAAAAAGAGAAGTCGAAATTTCTCTGCTGACGAAGAGAATATAATCCAGTCAATGGTTGAGGCCAACTCTATAGTTTATCATAGGCATGCAAATGTCGTAGCGTTACGAACGTTTTGTATTGGAACACAAGGTTCCAGCCGTTTGCATAATTTATATTTCAAAGACATATGATCCCAGCTCTGTGTGGCACTTACTTCAATTCCAGCAACAGAAAAGACATTTTAATGACTGACTGACTGAGTTTGGTTTTACGCCGCTTTTAGCAATA